TCACACAACTTTACCACTTGTATGTTAAATTTAATGCAAAAGCTCCTAATTAGCCACAGTTTTTACCATGTACTGTCATTCCTTTCAGAAGGTGTCCCAGCAGAAATGAGACTGACACTGTCCTGTGACCAACTACTCAATTAGAGCTAGACCCCAGCTTTGAAGCAACAGATTGAGTGTCACTATCATCCCCTCCTAACAGGCTCATCTGCATGTAAACCCAAGGGAATGTGGAGTCAAGTCAATTTAAGGAGTAACTAGAGTTTACATAATGGGAAGATGTATTCTATGCCCCCTTCACCTTTGCACTGTTAGAAGAAATATGCTTGCATTATAAATGACTAGGTAATTTGGTCACTTAAAGTGTAGCTCCCAACTAAACTGAGGACTATTCTTTCCCACTTCTCAGAGTTCCTATCTGTACCTGACTGAAGTCTACAAGTTGCAGGTTTTCTTGTTTTGGTTTTCAGTGACACAAAGTACACCTACCTTATAGTCAGAGACCATGAACATAAGCCCATTCAAGGTATACAGAGTACCTGCAGCAACGAAACAGCAGCTGTCTGGGCTTAGTATTGGCTGCAGAAGTCCAAAGCTCACCTTAAAATGGGCTTCAGCACGGGCTACTCATTTTGTCCGCTCTACTGTCACTCAAATACAAGCTGATAAGAAGAAACTCTCATGTATACCCATGTGTACTACAACTGCACTCAATAGTCCCAAAGATATATCCTAAGGGAATCTTCATGTTCAAAATCTTTGGTTTTCTCCCCCAAACTCAGAGCCTTCAAGCAAAGTTACATGACATTTCCTCAGAAGTACTTCCTCAGTCAATCACCACAGACAACAAGAACACACTCACAGACGTACTGAAACCTTCAGGTGGCTTTCTCATTTTCAACACTGGAATAACATTACCAGAAACCTCAACAGATTATACTTTAGGCTTTTAAAAGCTGAACTTTTTTTCCTCTTTTCAGATTGAAATCCCCCAAAGAAGCTGGTGCAAGAACCACTCTTGCTCTTGTAGATTATTTTCTTATGCAGCTGAACCAGGTTTTTTCAAGCAGCATGACATTCTTGTACTTGAAACAAAATAACATTTAGACAAGGAACATCAGAGCCATGATTCATCAGGTATCTAAGACCTTTAACTGTTATCAAAGGAAGTAGCAAGGCCAACCTATCTGTTTTGGAAGGTATCAAAAGATTTCTTCAGCTGTAGTTGGAAGGCATCAAAATGCTCATTTAACATGATCAGACATCTCACAGATTTGAAACTAAAGGTACAGAAAGTTTTCCAAGCTTCCCTGAAAACCCAAGAGTCATCTTAAAATTCATGCTGCAGCAGCTAGCCCTGTCCTATCCACTTTCCTTTTCCAGGTGGGTGTGCTAAAGTTACGAAGCCTGTGTACTCATACCAGAACATTAACACTACTGCTTTTCACTTCAGTCATCAAAAAGTTTCAGAAAGTGACTTTGAAACTTAGCCCCGATTAACAAGCAAAACCCTAGTTAACCGATGACTATTTACCTTAAACCAAAGCAAAACTAATGTATTTGAAGACCATCCCACAAATACCAGAAAAAGCTAGCAAGGCCCTGAACCATCACCTGTACTAAATGGAAAAGTAAATTCTGTATCACAGATTTATTTCGTTTCAGCATTTTGTTTCTAACTAGGGTTTCCCCAAAGTAGGAGACGAGAAATAGCAAGAACAGGGTGAGGAGAGAACTCAGCACTGGAAAGATATCAGAAAAGGAAGAAGCTGAAAACTCTGGATAAAATGGAAGCAGACACTAATGTCAATGAATACTTGAGCAATGTTATTTTAAAAAGGTTTGACTGTTCTCTGAATCAGTTTCCTCTTTCTCCATAAGCTGTATAGACTGACTAAATACTACTGCAATAAGCACTTCAGAAATATCAAGCACTATTGAGAGAGTAGGAAACCTCCTCCTTCAGTGAGAAGTTTAGTCATGGCTGGAAAATGAAAATTGACCATTTAATCCCAGAGATTTACACTGCATTTCTAACTCAGATCTCAGTGTTGCAGAAGCTTAACAGAACCATTGTTTGACCATGCTGAGAACTGTGTGGAAAAAGGGGCCAAGGTTGCTGCAGCTGTACTTAACATCAAACAGATTCATATGCTATTTGATAGGATCATTCTCACACAGTCCACATATCATATTATAAGAATTCATGTTATATATTTTCTGGTAAGCCAGACACATGATGATCTCCGTTCCATTTAGTCTTAATGAGTGATGATTCTAGTCTGAACTTCCTGAAAAAGTGAAAAGAATAAGTAATCTAAACACTACTATAGAAAGAATAGCAATCAGATTCACTTGACAATTTACATCAAAGAAGCAGAACAAGTTTACTTGAAACATTTTATGGTTATCCACAGAAAAAAGTTGAACACAAGAAAGTATTACTCAATTACCCTAAAATAAATGCATTGACAACACCACTATGTTTTGAAAGCCATATAATTCTGTTGTGGTATTTGATTTCTCCCTGATGATTACGGCAGAATATCCAGGTGTTAGGAGGTTTTTTTTTCAGATGAGCACAAAGCAAACAGAATATCTAATGCCTTCTTCCCACCCTCCAGTCTCAGACCTCCTTCCCACCAGAAAACTCATTTACTTCCCTTTGTTTGTACTCTCTTATGCCTGCTCTTTCCATAGCGACCACCCCCAAGGCATTCCCCAAAACCTATGGGTGAAGAGTAAATTGTATTCTTATATTCAAGAGCCACTTCTGCCATCTGGAGAAACAGAGAAGGCAGAGGCTAAGAGATACTGCCCTAGCTAAAAGGACAGCCTAACTTAATGCTCCCAAATCACAGCCTGCAAGGCCAAAAGCACAACCTGTTGAAGCATATTAACTCATACAAAAACACTTACAAATTCTAGTTTGATGATTAGGAGGCTTAAAAAGATGTTCAGCTGACAACAGTCCAAGAAGTGTTGTTAACTACCAGCCTTGAAATCAGACTAGCACGCTACCTTGAGGACCTGGATTCTACCCTAAGGTCTGCAACTGCTCAAAGCCATCCAGCAGACAAGTGTTTCAAGTGCATAACTCAGCCTGCCCTACTACAAGATGGAGACACTTTTCTTTCAAAGCACACCAAGCTTTACTGCTGAAAGCTCTAGACTTTCTGCATACATAAAATATTAAATTCTAACAGAACTAGTACTGCTTAGACAACTCAAAGAGAAAGAAGTCTCAGATTTTTCCTGTTTTCACAAAGTGCTTCCTTAAAAGCCTCTGCTACTACTTTAAACCAGTAGCAGTAACAAATAAATCCCTGGCAGTACCAAAATACACATTAAGACCTCTAAAATCCAACTCTTCTAGGTGTATAGATGAGAAAGCCTCCTAACACTCTCCTTGCTCACATAACTACAAATAAAGAGAAGCTGCCGAGCTTCAACTTTCTTGCAGTTAATGGGCTCCTGTAATCCTGAAAATGGATGAAAAAGAATGAAAGGAAAATTAGCCAACAATTTTCCTGCTCACTAACAGAAGCAAAAGCCCTCCATAGAATAGCAACATTCTCTAAAAACAAGAGTCACTGTATGCATGCACTTATTAAGTACATATAAAGCTTCTATTTAGAAACAAATCTGAAAATTTAGAAGTAACTCTTGTGATTCTTCACTTGCACGATTCCCTTTCCTTTAATTTGCTCCAAAATCTCAGTCTTACAAATCCACGCCCACCTAAGAATAAAGACAGTCTTACAGAAAAATACAGGCAGAAAAGGAGCAGTTCTTTTACAGAAAAAATATGAAGAGAGATATATTCTTCAGTGAGATTTTCATGCACCCTTATGTATTTTCTGTAACATGATCACTTCTATCTGCACAGGGCATCAAACCTTGTTTCCCAGAAATAAACAGTAAATGTCAAGGCTCATTTTCTTAGCTGTCTGTAGACTAAAGGCTCTACCTGTAGCCTTCATATTCTCCAATCACTAGACAAATACATTACAGCACTATAAAGCCTGCACACACATCGAACAAAATCTTCTTTTCTAAGGTACCAAAACAAAGTTATTTTCATTGCAGCACAATGCTTGGTAACATCCCACACTGCCCACACTCCCAAGGGCCTATGCTTCTCCATTTCATAGAATGGTTAGAGGTGGAAGAGACATTAAAGCTCACCCAGTTCCAACCTCCTGCCATGGGCAGGGCCACTTTCCACTATACCAGGTTGCTCCAAGCCCTGTCCAACCTGGCCTTGAAGACTGCCAGGGATGGGGCAGCCACAGCTTCTATGGGCACCCTGTGCCAGTGCCTCAGCACCCTTACAGGGAAGAACTTCTTCCCAGTATCTAATACAAATCCACCCTCTTTCAGTTTAAAGCCATTTCTAAACTGAGTAACAACCACTCATAGCTACACCTCCATAACGACCTGCTTCTTGTCCCATCTCGAGGTACACAGACTCAGAGCACTCAGCAGAGACATGAGAATTCCTCATCATTTCTTCAAATTTTGAAGTTTCGTCAGTTCTGACTTCGAGGATGCTCTCATAATGTTTTTTCCAGAGAGCAGGCCACACCTATATCCTCTTTCCTCTACGTTTCCACAAAGCTTTTCTCAATCCCTTTTGCAGGGAAGTTTCCTTTGAGCCTTTGCACAAACGAGGCCTTCTGACGGATAAAACCCTCAGTCTCGCCCCCCGCAGCCCGCCAAGCCATCGCACAAAAGGTACACGCCTTCAAAACACCTGCACCGCAGAAACCCCCTGCCCGGAGAGCGGGTGCACCCGAGAGAGGCGGCGGAGCAGCCCGGAGGAGCGGCCGCCGTCGCCCCGACCGAGCTCTCATCCTTTTCCGACATTGATTCTGGGCACGGCCCAAACCCCCAAAAGCTGCGGGATGTATCGGCGCCGGCCTCCATCCCCGACCGCCCCGGCCGAAGGCGGCTGGAGCCACCGCTCCCCCCGACCAGGGCCCTCTCCCGCCCCTCACCTTGAGGATGTTCTCGTAGATGGTGGCCCGGAACTCCAGCAGCGCCTTCTGGTCGAACTCGCGGCCGTGGATGATCCGCATCTGCTTGAGGAAGGTGGACTTGCCGCTCTCGCCGGCGCCCAGCAGCAGAATCTTGACGAGGCGGCGCACGGCCCGCCTCTCCCGGGCCAGCATCGCGTCGATCTCCCTGCTCCGCCGCCGCGCCTCCCGCTCTGCATCGCGGCTACGCTCCTTGCCCTCCCGCCGCGGCTGCTCCCCGGCTCGGCCCGTGGCCTCGGCCGGCAGCAGGCAGCGGCTCAGGGTGCGCACCACGCCGGACATGGCGGCTGGGGGACGGCAGGAGCGCTCACAACGCCGCGGAGACCCCAGCCAGCTCCGCCAGCATCGGGCGGAGGCCACCGAGACGCTGGGACCCTGGAGGCGGAGCAGCCGCCGCAGCCGGGGGCTAAGGGCCGGGACCGCCCATTCCCCCTCTCCCGGCTCGGCTGGCGACGCTGCACAGGGAGTGGAGGCAGGCGCGGCCCCGGGAGGCCGGCCGGCCGGGGGGAGGGGTGGCGGCTGCGGGGCGCGGCCCGCAGGCCCTGCCGGGGGAGGGGGCACCGCAGGTCCGCTCGAGGGGTCGGTGAGCGGCGGAAAGAGCCCTCCGAGCCCCTCGGCCCGGGTTCAGCCAGCGGCCGCCTCCGGTGCCGCTGAGGCGCGGCGGGGCGGGGGGACGCGCAGCGCGCAGCCCCTCAGTCAGGGAGCGCCGCCGCTGCCACCGGAGGGAGGTGCCCGCTCGGCCGTCCCGCCCCGCTAAGGCTGCGTCTCATTGGATTACAAAAGTGTCAATCAACGGCTCCCGCTTCCGATTGGAGAAGCCGCCATGTGGGGCGGGAGCAAGCGAGCAGCAGGCTCAAGGCGAGGCAGGGCGAGCAGCGCCGGGAGGGCCGGCGCAGGGGGCGGAGCTTCCTCGAGGGAGGTGGTGCAAGAACCAATCAGAGGAGGGAGGGTGGGTCCCGACCGAGGCTGTCCGGCAGGGGGCGGGGCCTCGCTGTGGGAGAAGGCGGGCCCGCCGAGCGGGTCGTGACGGAAAGGCCGTTGGCTTGAGGCGGGCGCTGAGGGGAAGGGGTCCGGCCTGTAACGGGCGGAGCCGCGGTAACGGGGAGCGGTGTTAACGTGCTGGGGCACAGCGGACCAGCGGCGGTTAGCGCACACCTGAGTGATGCAGTTGTAAAAGTCATGCAGTGACTGTACGAGGATCTCTCTGCAGGCTGCAGCCTGAGGCTCAGCTGCCCCCGGAGCAGCTACCGGTGAGGTGCTAGTGCCGCTGACACACACAGAGCACCGGGCTGTGTCTGCCACACAACACACCGCAGCTCGTAATGGGTTTTGTAGGCGGATAAGTTCTGCTCTGAAGACAGAGAGCTGGGTTTGTTCAGCCTGGAGAAAGCTCCAGGGAGACCTCAGCGCAGCTCCTAGTGCCTAAAGGGGCTGCAAGAAAGCTGGAGAGGGGCTTTGGACAAGGGCCTGTAGGGACAGGACAAGGGGGAATGGCTTTAACCTGACAGAGAAGGGTCATTTAGATGAGATATTAGGAAGAAATTCTTTACTATGAGAGTGTACTTTACTATGAGGGGAGCACTGGCACAGGCTGCCCAGAGAAGCTGCAGCTGCCCTATCCCCAGCAGTGTTCAAGGCCAGGCTGGATGGGGCTTGGAGCAACCTGCTCTAGTAGAAGGTGACCCTGCCCATGGAACTGGATGAGCTTTAAGGACCCTTCCAACCCAAACTACTCTGTGATTCTGTGAGAAATTTCATTTCTTGATTGATGTCAGGTGTAATTCCTTGTACAGCATATTGAAGCAATCTAGTGCTGGGCTGATGATGAGGCAGGGATTAAAGTATCAAAGTACGCACCTGGAAGAAAATCCCCTTGCTCTACTGATTAGGTACTGGAGGAGGAAAAAGAAAGCATTTTCAGAAGCAGCTGGTATGTGATGGCCTGGCAGTGGCTGGGATCCCACACCTTCTGGCTGCAAAATGCAGTCCTTAAAGACAGGCAGGTCCTCTGTTCTATGAGATTATTTTGTCCTTTCTGCATTACTTCCTTTGCCTGTTCTTCCAATTATTTACGCCATAACCATCTAATCCTGTTTAAGATTTGGGTAAATTTTTCTACCCCAGGACTGTATCAAATAGTGGGGCAAGTGAAACAAATACAGAGAGCTGAAGGAAACTTGTCAAATCAGAGGGATTTCATACAAAGTTAAAGATGTTACAAAGCTTTAATATGTCCCAAGAGACTGGGAAGTCACAGATCTGGAACAAACCCAAAAGCAGTTAAACAAAACCTTTGTGAAAATCTGGCGTATTAATCACACTGGGATGCTGTTGTCAACACTTTCCCAAGTGAGTCCTTTTCTCCTTAGCAAGGATAGACACCTAAAAACACCTTCAGGTACTGCAGAAGTCAGGAGGAGAACAGCACAAGACCCTTGGTCATGAGCCATTCACTACAGCACAGAACCCTTCCTGAGAGTTCACTATCCTTCGACTGTTGTTTTGAGACCTGGCAGCAGCTCGCTCCACGTATAAAATAGCGTTGTAATTCACGACTTTTCCCACTGGATGTCATCATTGCCCCACAAGAAGCCAGTCAGCGCGATGAAGACAAATCAACCCCAAGCCCCCATGCTCTGAAGGCCTGATTTTCACAACAGCTGAGCACTCAAGACTCCCGCTACAGTCCGCAGATGCCAAACTGCCTGGAAATCAGCCCCTGTGTAACTGTGAAGTGCCCAGACTGGCATTTGCTGATTAGCTCAGTTGCTCATGCCCCACTAGCTTTTTCTGTGCCCTACTTCAGGTCCTCTTCAGACTTCTGAGGTTCTTACGGCTTTTGGCAGAGAATTCACAGTGCAATCCAGCTCCTACAATAGGCCTGCTTCATCTGTGAGGGTGAAATTAAGGTATACAATAAACTAATCAAACAAACCAGTTGCCAGACATCATTAGTCCTCTATGCAGTCATCCATGAAAGCAGCTTTCAACAGCTTGCATCAAATTGTCAAAAGGAAAAGGTCCTCCCTTCCCTCTTTTCCCTGCAGCATTGTGGTTCCTCATTTTGTTTTCTGCTGTGGATCTGCAGCCAGATGGCTTCTGCTGCTCTGCTGAGGGACATGGGAGAACCTCACAAATGGTTGTGGTGATCCCTGTTGATGTTTCTGCAGATGGTCTGAGTGTAAGCAATTGGTGTAAGCACCCCAATAAAAGCTTGGCTTCTACTCAGTCCCAATGCCTTCCCTTTCTCCTTTTCCTTATCATCTGCCCAGTTCTGTTCTTCAAGATTTCTAGTTCATCTCTCTTCTTTGGGCTTAGACTGCAATTAAAACAATTTATATTGATACAAAACAATGCTGACTTAATTTTTTCTCTTCCTTGTCTTACTTTCTCAGGTTTCCAGCTTTACCTTTTTCTGGTTTTACTCTGTTTTGTTTTTTCCCCATCTATGTTTCTTCCTATAACTCTTCTTTCTGCTGAGATGAAGAAATACTTGTACAGTTGCTTCTATTTCTCCTGCCTTCATCTTCCATAAATAGAGCAGGAGGGAGAGACTAAAAGATGGAAGAAAACAGAGGATTGGAGCACAGAAAGACAGAGGCAATGCGGGCAACATTATTTCCATCTCCCTTGTTGCCTACAGAGCAACTGAATTATGAGCAGAAAGACAGGGAGCTCTTCAGGGAAAGGCTGGAGCATGAACTTCTGAGGCCCTAGCCCTGAAAACAGACGGCAGAAGATTAAAGCTGAAAAGCTGAATGGCAGCTGGTAAAGCTGGTGGTACATGAAGACCTCATTGCAGATGGGAATGACATCTGGGCAGCTCTGGTAAATGAAGAGGTAGTTATGGAAAAACACTGATACTGAGCTTCAGCCAGTAACTCCCATTTTCTGCTTACAGAAAGGTGAGAAGAGGATGGGGCCTCACTGATGAATGCTGGCCACAGGAGTATGTGAAATGAGAGTTGAGCTGCCTGACCTTGGTCCTTTCTATCTGTTATAAGCTCCACTTGTTTCTACCCGGGTCAAGCATAGAGAAGATATATGGATATATATGGATTTAGTCTTTGAAAGGATGCAGAGCGATCATTTCAGTGCCTCAAAGCTCGTAGTTAGCTAATCCCAAAATCTTCCCAAGTGCCCACCTGGATGATGGCCCATTTATTACCCAGTCCACTGAGACCCAGAGCTTAAAAGACTCTGTTCTGTCCTCTGAAAGCATATTATCAACACCATCAGCAAAGGCACCATGTGGAGGAAGTGCAGCTGAGAATGCAAGTAATGAATGCTGTATTACAAAGCTGAATGTTTGCCCACACCTGGGACATGGCTTTTGTTTTCCTGTGTGCCACCAGACACTGTCACTGCCAGGAAGAATATTTTGCTCAGTGAAACTGGGAAGCAAATAAATAACAAGAAGGATATGCTCACCACCTTGCAGTACAGAACCACGTAGCAATATCAGAGCACTAATGTAATTTAAACTTCAGCATTCAGACAAGAACCTGGCAGTCTTAAGACAACAGCAAGAAGTATGCACTGATGGAATCACCCGAGTTGATATATCACCCACCTTGTCCTTTCTGACCACTGTGCTAGGTGAGCAAACAGAGTCAAAATATTAAACTGCTGTTACTGCAGGGCAGATGCACTCCTGGCTTAGGCTGACTTAAAGATGTTGGGGCCCTTGAATTGCTCGTTGTGCATTCAGCTAGCAAAGCTTGTAGATCTGAAGAACATTTATGATCTAAACTTGTGCTGCTTCTCTGTTGTTGAGACTCTGACTCCCTTTGCCTCAGGAGGTGCTGGAGTTTATAGGCACTTCAAGCCCTCACCTAAGCCGGTAGTTTTGTCATGTTAAAAGTGCCATGTTCTGCTTATTGCATTCTCAGAGGTTTTATATGGCTTTTTCTATTACCTTCTCTCTGCACACTCCCCATAGCAGAATGAAAATGTGGAGAGAGACAGATGAATAATGTTCTCCTGTGGAGGAATGAAACAAAAATAGTTCAAATAAATAGATCAACTATTTCCTAGTAACATAATTAAGCATACGGGAACCTTCCAGTACTAATATATTAGTTTTTTGCTGGAGGTACTGAGACCTTGGCTAGATGTTTTCTGCAAGACTTTATGATCTGTATTGTAATATGCTCTTTCTCAGAGATTCAAATTTTTTGAAATGATTGTAGTCTCAACTCCCATGAAGCCAAAGAACACTGAAGTATTTAGGCGTCCCTCAAGCAAAAATCCACTTACTAGTGAATTTGTACCTCAGTGTATGCTTTGTGCTTTTAAATATTGCTTTACTATACAGTTGTTTGGAATATGTGTTCTTTTTTTTATATCCAGATTTGCCTAAACTTGAGCTTCTATTGACATCAGGACATTAAAAACTATGTCCACATGAAGAACTAGAGAACCATGAGCAGCCTTTTAATGGTAAGACTGGAAGAGAAATGAATAACAAACAGTGCTTTCAAATGATAATTGTTTGATTTTATTCCCCCACAGCCCAGGGAAGTGTTCTAGATCTCTGCCATAATGTACTTGTCTCAGAGTTAAAACCAGTGTTTCTTGGTTTTAGAGAAAGCCCCTGAGATGTCTGATGCTTCCATCCAGATGGAACTCCTAAGGAAGGACAGACAGTAGGATGGCAAGGAGTGCCCAGACTCTTCTACCTGCAAAACATGTGCACAGGTTGGTGATCGGTTGTATCAGGTGGACAAGTTGCAGGAAACAGTGAAAAGGCTGCATGGTATTAGGGCTGAGACACAGACAGATGGGTTTAGAACCACGCTCCTGTGGTGGACGCTATAGACAATGAGGCACCTTAGACCCTGGTGACCCACAAAAGCAGAAGAAATCATACTCTATGTTAAGGAGAACCCTGAGTATATGAAAGTCAACTATGGCAACTGTGAAAACTCTATCGAATGCCTCTGGGTCAAGACCACAGAGGTCATCGCCAAAACATGCCTACTTCTTCTATTAAATTTATAGCCACTATGTCTTTCTTTTCCATGTGATATTTTCATCTTCTGTCCCACAGAGGATACATTACTCATATACATAAAATATGTGAGTTCTGACACTTCGTGGAGTTAATTTTCACTGTTTTCAGACTGCTTAACAGTAGCCTGTTCTCATTCATTACACACCAGCCAACGAGTGGATTAGTTTACTTTCAAAACACCAAAACCTCATATTACTCCCCAAACAATTAATTACTGAGAGAAAACAAGCCTATTTTTAACACAGCCTGAAAGTAATTCAAGGCATGTCCTGCCAAATGTTCTGCAGCTCTGTTCTTAGTGTGAAGTTCTTGTGGCTATACTCAGGGACAGAGTACCTTGATTCAGAGAGTATAGAAAGGTCAGAAAGTGAGGTTCTGCTCAAAGGGCACAGAAACTGGGATCTGAATGGGACTATGTCTCAACAGTCTCTGCTTCCAAGTTCTAAATCTGAAGATGTATTCTTAGAGCACAAAGGGACAGAACAGGCACATACTAGCTCAAATACATGTCTTTGGCATACACAAAAAGTCTGGCATCTCAGATACAACTTAAAACCCAATGTAAGTCCTGAAACTGTTTGGACCTCTGATTTTGAGTACAAAGCCTCACAGCAGTAAGCAGCTTTTTCAATTCAGGTGCCTATTTTGGTTAGTCATCTATGTCACAAAAAGCCATTGGAAAACAAGATGAGTGAAATTAAGAGGGGAAAAAGAAAAAGGCACAAATCTATAAAGTGCTAAAGCAAAGCCAAAGAAAGTGGAGCTCCATGAGAACAGAACAGAACACGTTTGCTGCCAAGTTACGTCCATTTTTTTCTGCACTGTTTTTAAAATGACTTTTCATCTGGTGATGCAGAGCCAAATATCTCTACGGGTAACATGTAGCTCCCCAAACTCATAGGAAATTAGCAAGCCTTAACAAAATTTATGCATGGCTTGCTATTGCAGTTCCACATTTAAAGGGAAAACAGATGTTCTCTTTAGTTATTCTCTTCATGTCCAAACGAAAGCTGTTGGGTACAGAGGTTTTTTTCTTAAAAAAAAAAAAAAGAAAAAGGCTGGTGCTGTAAAGGTTACAAATGATGCAATTTTTACAATCCTACTTCAAGGCTCTCTCCTACCCCGAATTGCTGAAGTGATGCTTGCAGATGCCTGTCACCCACTTACCAGCCTCATATTTCTTAACACCTACACTTTAGGATGAATAAATAAAACAGAGTCCAAAGTATTTGCTTGAGACCATTAATGGCCTGGCAAGCCAGGCTTCCAAGCCTTTGGCTGAATTCATTGTTAAGTTTCTCAGCCCAGGTTAGTTTCAAAAGTGAGGCAGAATGGATATCTCTGAAAAGCATGCTATTAGCCGTGTCACTAAATGGGTCTCTCAAGGCTTCAGCATGAGGAAGGAAAACAGTGATTCTTCACCTCCTTCACCTGCTTCCCTTAGCTTTGCACATGCACATTCTGCCCACATAATTTTCCACCACACATTGCAGATGGGCAATCTTTTCTCTTTCTGTTTTTACACAAACATTTTCAAGATGTGCAAAAATACTGGCACTTACAGTGAGTGTTTGCCATCTGAAAGAGCTTGCCACTGCAAACATGTATGCATGCATCCACACAGATCTCATATTCATTCTTTACTTTGCAGATGGGTATCAAACACAGAGGCTTTCAAAATGCTAATTCATTTGGGCTGCTATATTTGTTTGTTTCTACAACATGCTTTTTCATTGCTCCCTGGATGGGGGAGGATCCCAATCCTTTATTCCTCTGCAGCTACTAAGCGGACATTAATACAAAAATCAGGTCCCTATCCACAAAGAAATGCCCCAGAAGAACAGCAAGTACAGTAAATTCTAGTCATGGGCTTCATACCCTTTCAAACTATTTATCCAAACAATCCTTTCTAGCCTGTGATATGCATGGTCTTCCAGATAATATGATAAATAATATGATAAATAAATGTGGCTACTAGCTAATGTAGGAATGATTAGTCTCCAAAAATGGCGAAGGAAGGGACTCTGTCATTTAAAGAAAGGGTAGCAAACGATGCAAAACACAGGTGGCAGGAATGCAGAGAAGAGCTGGCAGGAACTAATGAGATGAGTGATCAGCATTTTATTCAGACAGTGTTTCAGCGTCCACCCAGAGGAGATTAAGTATCCTGTCCTCTCAGTGCAGAGAAGGAGAAATAAATCAGGTTTTACCACAAGTAGGGTGGCAGGGAGTTAATTAGAAATGGTGGGGGGGATGGGATATTTCAGTTTGCAAAGGGATAAAAAAATGTACAAATGAAAGAACTAAAACACACTGAAAACACATTGGAACACACCTGGGAAACAAGTGACTGAGGATCCTGCATGAGGAAGCTGCAGCCACAGGGGACTGCACACAACAGGTGATTCAGACAGCTCAGCTGAAAGCTGCAATCCAGTGCCAAATGCTGTTCATATGAGCTGTTACATGAAAGCAGACATTTCCCATACCCTGCCTCACGTCAGGGTCTTTCCATCAACAAAGCATGTAAAAAAGGCAAAGTTGCAGAAGAAAATGAAAGGACCTTAGTTTTCCGAGTAGTTTTTTAAAAAACCACAACCCTCATTAAAGTCAATAGGAATTGCTCTATGTCTCCTGTAATTTGCCTCCCAGGATCTGTGCAAAACTAGAATATGTCAGATTCTGCTATTAAAATGAGCAGAACTGCATGAGAAGATTAGCAGAAGCCACAAAAAGCAGAATGGTGGTGAAGCTACCTTATTGCCCCATGTTCAGTGATTTCCATTAATGATTTAACAGTAAAGTTCAATTAAATGAGTAGTAGATACTGACACAGCCCAGCAATAGATCTGCTCTGTGCTGGTGGAGCACATGCATATGGATATGTTAAAGCAAGAGAACCTTTCAAAGGCAATGCACCATTTTTCTTCCCTGTCCTAAGCTGAGGTTAATTGTGCCTGGGGCGGGTACGTTGCTAGTCCTAATGAAGATCAATTCCAAGCTGAGAGTCGAGTCCCTGCTTCAGCCAGCTGACTGACAATACCGTGTTTCTGGGAGGGATAAAGGCTTCTGTTGTCTACTGGGTTTAAACTGTGGGTACAAGTAGGGTTAGGGGTGTATTGCCTTGCAGGAAGCAAAGTCCTGTGAGCTGATGGGTAACATATTACCTCTGCGGAAAAAGGTCCTGCTGCATGCCATTCCCGATCTGCTGATGTACCCTTTCTGCCAAGAATGCCACAGGCTGCAGGTCACTGCTCAAGAGAAAAGGCTTGTGTGGAAATGAATGCATGAATATGTCTTCTGGCTGAAATATTTAATCAATGTTTAAGTGACTTTCTGCCACCAGTGAATATTAAATTCCTCATTTTGAGGAAAAGCTGGGAGTCACATTTCAGCAACATATTCAGAGCATCACTACATTCAGATAGCGTCAGATGATGCAAGAGGCTGTGGTCAATCCCCATTGCAGTAATTTAGGTGAGTGCAGAAGAAGGAGTGCTGCTTTTTGACTGTCTCCATGTTTGTTATTTATACGCCGTGTCATTTTGAGCCTGTTGTTCGCTTGTAGCTTTGGGCTGACAGTTCCCTGATTCCAAAGGCAATTCAGCCCCTGACATAAAGCAGAAGAACAATGCACAGTTCCTGTAAAACAACAGTGCTCCCCCCGCTGCTGTCAGAATGCAGGGATTAGATGCAGAATAATGCAGTCCCTGATCAAACTTGCAGCTGTAATTCAACCTCTGGACAGTGCTGATGCCATAAATTTGTGAAGAAAGTGCAGCTCAAGCGGTTTGTGAACAAGAGCTGGTAAGTCCAATTGAATTACAGTTGTGGGAGCAGCCGAGATCCCCCTGCACCGAATCATTACTAATGAGAGCCAGAGAATGATTGCTTATGATTTTAATGAAATTGAATTTTAATTTATAACCTTGGCTGGAAGAGGAGGAGGAAGAAACATACAATGAATATTTGTGGGTGACAGGGCAAGAGTACAACCAGAAACCCAAAATAAATGGAAGGAGAATGTATTCTCCTAGAAGAGGCAAGATAAAATGTTATCTTCAAAAATATGCTGAAGTTTTAGCAAAGAGTTGTGATACCATGAGCGCTGAAGAAAGTGACTCTGTATCACAGTTCTGATGATGAGAGAGCTCAAAGAAAATGCTCAAATATGTTTTCTTCAATCCGTTTAGGCTACTCAGAAGAAGGGGAACAGCTCAGCTGAATCTGAAGCCAGCACAGCCCATTGTTTTGGCATGAAATCAGCAGAATGGTAACTACAAGCACCACTGACATATTATAATCAAATAATCACATGGAGCCCTTTCTGAGCAAGTCTTCCAGTTTCAGCACTGAGTGGTTATTCACTATTGAAATGAAAAGCATAATTAACACTAAATACTCTTTTAAATAGAATAATGTTCCTTGCTGTTTCCCTTGCTATTTTAATATCCGTCTTAATATTGCACTGTTTCTACTGGGACAAGAGTAAGGCATAGGGAGGTTAAAAAAGTCATTTACAAAGTTCATCTCAGATATGGAAATGTGAGGAAAGAAATGGGGAAAACAGAGAACTTGAGTAAGGAACACAAAATGGATGAGCAAGAGAGTACTCACAGCGTAGACTGCACAAGTTTTGCAACTTGTAATACGAATCTGCCATTCAGAGATGATCAGAGAGGTGTGGAAGGTCTGGGACTTGGGGTGCACAGCAAGGGCCAAATCAGGTAGAGAACTGGAGAGGTGCTGGAAAATGCTTGGGCTTTTGACTTTACATTTACTTTATGGAAGGTAAATCAGTATCTCTTCCACCTCAGTGCACTTGTATCATATGGTAATCTGTTACAAGGTGACCAGGGCTTGAATATGTCTCTTCTGAACTCAAAACAGCTTAATCTAAAGAGCTTTCTTTCCTACAGAAGGTCTAAAGCACTGTATTACCTCATGCCACAGGGTGATGGGACTCAACCCAGTATTTTATTGTACAACTTGGGAATCAGCAGCTAGAAACAATCACTATCCAAACAGTAGAACATGCAAATTGAGTGGAAATTCAGTGGTATTTGCATATATTAAACTATTTTTTTTATCCAAATAGTATTAAAATGAGTTTTGCTGTACAAGAGAGGATTTTCAAGGAGACAGAGTAGTTCGACTGGGAGAAACATTATAAACATAGGTGGCTAATAATGAAGGGTCATTCTCTTCTTCTGTGTGTCACAAAATTATTTCACATCAAAGTGTATTGTCATGCACCTCATTTACTGGGACTCACATGGCCTAATTGATTTTGTAAACCGAAGCTGTATCACGTCACCACTGGAGGGAGATATTATGCTTTTAAAGAGCTGTAAACCTGCTGCTGCCATAAAGGCCCTTCAAGTAGGAAAGGGTGAAAAAATCATCTGGTGAAGTACAGCTGCTGAGTTTGATCCAGGCTGGACACAGTAAATCATAGGTTCTAATAACAATCATAATACAGCATGAAGGAAACAGTGCCAGATTAACAAAGACACTTAATGTTTCCACTCTGATCAATACTGCTCAAGTGAATGTTATCCAGACGTCTGAATTTAGTCCAGGTTAAATCCACCATGGGTATTCTCCTCCCTTTCTCCTCACCCTCTCCCATCGCTCACAAACTGTGCCTGCAGAAACCCATTTGTGATGTTAAAAGTCCTGGGCTGATATTTCCTAACCCTTTAACTGATGGTGACCTCAAGGGTGACCAAAAAAGTGTTCCTGCAGATGGCATTATTTTAGTTTTCACTTAACCCCTCGTGGCCTAGTGTCCTATTTTACAATCATTCAATTACCCCTGCTGCTGCTGAAAAAACCCAGCGAGAAAATAATTATTTGGTGTTGCTGAAGGTCATCAGCTGCTAGAGAATAAGGGACCCTCAGACAAGCTCCAAGTCATACTGCTTGGACACTTCGACAGCTGACAAGTACATTGTATGTACTTCAGGAGGCAGTCAGGGTACTGAAACTCAGCTCCAAAACCCAAAAGCTTCTGCTAGTAGAACAGAAGAAGCAGTTCTGCTAGTAAATCTGATGTCCTGTGGCACATTTCCGAAGAGGATAACGTTGCACATCTCTGTACAGACTCATTTGGCTGTGGGGGGCACACTCACACATTGTGCTTAAGTTCCAGAGCAGCATCTCAGCAAAATAAAACATGTGATAAGAAAGAAATTCCTGTGTGAGGAACTCTCACATTTCTAGTAACAGTGAAGAGTCGGCGGCAACTTTCAGCTCAGCTGACTATTTGGGGTTTCTGGTTTGAACTTTATTAATGACAATGCTACCACCTGCTTGCTGCCTCCTCATTCCTGAATTAGGCTAGTTATAAAATTAAAGTAGAAAACAAAGCTTTGCTAAAAAAATATTCTTATCACCTCCCCATGCAACTGCATCTCACACCTACAGTTGCAGCTAACCGTCGGTTTCCTGTTGTACTCACTGAATGGGATGATATCAGAGTAAATATTGTTGAATTGCTTATAAATCTCTAGAGTGAAATCCTAGCTATGCTGAAAAGAGGAGCTTCGCCACACATTTTGATAGTTTCTTCAGGCAGTTTTTCAGTTGCTTTTGGTTCTCAGTGAGTCTTGTTTATGGAAAGATGATTAATGCAATCTTACAGCATGTGCAATCCTTTGTCTTTTTGTTGACCCATGTGTCAACTTCCATAAACCACCACATACTGCCTGACAGTAATAATCTGCTCTTTTCTGACCACATAATCATGGAATGGTTAGGGTTGGAAGGGACCTTAAAGCTCATCCAGTTCCAACCCCCTGCCACGGGCAGGGACACCTTCCACTAGAATAGATTGCTCCAAGCCCTGTCCAACCTGGCCTTGAACACTGCCAGGGATGGGGCAGCCACAGCTTCTCTGGGTACCCTGTGCCAGGGTCTCACCACCCTCACAGGGAAGAGTTTCTTCCTAATATCTTGACTATATTGACTAATATATTGACTGCTACTGCTAAACCCAGGACATATCTCATCTCAGTCTCCCCTCTGTCAATTTAAAGCCATTCCCTCTTGTCCTATCACTACGGGCCCTTGTAAAAAGTCCTTCTCCGGCTTTCTACATTTTAGATGTGCTGGCTGAAGTTTTCAAGATCCAGCTTGGGAACAGTGATCTAAGACATTAGAAAACAGTTAGGAAGAAGGAAAAAACATCATCATCTCTATTAATTTTAGTGTGAGACAACCTCATCCAGAAACCACCTGATGAGCCAGGCCTGAGCAGTGTGTATGTGTCTAACTGCAAGCTCTTACATTATACCTTCTTGCTGCTTCAGCTACAGCAGTGGTTCTGGTCAGTGCTGAGAAGCTGTAAGATGTCATCTTGAAGGTCTCATTTCCAGATATGCTCAGTATCCATGACCCTTATGGATTTCCCTAGGACTCCACCTGCAGGACTTCAGACACTAGTAGAGTCTCATTATCGCAAAATCTCCATACCCTATTTCAAAGCAGAGAAGGTCATGGCTTAGTTGCTGGAAGAACCAGCTGTTCTGACTATCATAACAGAAACAGCAGAAACGAAAAAGAAAAGAAATTCAAATATGTGCCCCTATTGCACAGTGCAGTTCAATCCTCCTAAGGCATACAAAGCAAATAGTAGTAATAAAATGTGATAGGAAAATCAATTGAAACAAATGAAGCACTGTCTGTGCTGTATTCCAGCTCCTGTGTCCCATTGTTACTGCTTTGATTAATAAACAGCAATCTGATAATGAGCAAATCAGCTCAGCACCAGGATATGGTGAAGTAAACGCAGACATGCCACAATGACAAAGCTAAATCTCACCAGCACAAGGTTGTCTTTGGAAGACTGCTTGACTATTTCTGGCTGGTCAGAGAGAGATCGTTACTGCAGCAGAGCAGGCAGTGCTTGGAAGGCAGGGCTGTTTGGGAGAGAAGCTGTTGTAAGGCACTGGATTTGATGCTATATTTATAAATGTGCACTTGAAAGCAGGCATCAGTTTTTCACATTCATTTAATAGACATTTACCCCACTGGCTTTCTCTAGGGTGCAAAAATGAAGGCAACGACCAAAAATTGGCTCTTAAAACATTATTTTAACAATACAGTAATGCTGCTATAAAGAACTCCATCTAGGTCAGAGTGGATATCCAGCTTAGTTCCTTCTGGTGCATATTTAGACAGAACTGAAAGGTAATGTAATTGTGGTCATTTATGTCAGGAATAAATCAGTTTCATTATGATTTATTCTTTATTTCTTACCATGTGTATTTCTTTTCTAAAGATTCTGTATGTCCACACGATGACCACAGCCACAGATTGCCTTGTGTAGCCTTTCCTCAGCACTGTCCTGATGTGCCCTGGTGTCTGCTTAAGCATTGTGTTAGGAGTTACTCTCTGAATACAAGATTTTGTGCAGGGGATTGAACTTCACCAAGTTTCAGTGCCTCTGTTTCCTTGCTGCTCTGCTAATGCCTCAGCATATACAATCACTGAAGGCTGTGCCAGAGATCCTTGTTAGTTCCCCACTTCTACTGTGAGCAAAAATTACCAGATTCACTGACATTTCAGGCAGAGAGACAAGGAGAAGTGTGTGTAATTGATGGGAGACCACTAGTTGCAGCGAATTTAAATCAGAAAAAGGAAGCTGTTCTCTAAAGGACTGGATATACCAAACACTTGTCATCAATAAATGGTTCCCAGATCTGACTCCTGACCACAAGGAGGCTTTACCAACTTGTAAGAAAGAAGTTAATGGGACAGAGAATAAAGGAGAAAACAACAGCCCTAGTTCTCAGGTGGAATTTTCCCAGGTTGGCAAGGTGCTAAAATGGCTTTGCCAGTACCCTGAAAAGTCAGGATGGCTGCAGTGTCTGAGCAAGGAAGAGGTAGAGTGGAGCTATTGCTGTTCAGATCCTTTGCAGCAATTAATTCACGTATTAGCTGAAAACAGCGATGAAAAGCTGCATCCCAGGACTTTTCCACACTCCATCCCAGCTCCATTACTTTATACTATTTCCCATTTTTTCCCTGGTGGAAACAGCCTAGCCCTGGCCCCAGTCCCACTTCATCCCTGGGATGGTAACACTCCATTCTGCACACACTCCTGACAAGCCTGTATTTAAACTATCTCATGTACCCCTTAATAACCGCTAACATACAGGCTTCTGGTACCACAAGACAGGATTGGGTGTTGCGGGTACTTTACTGTCTGGCAGTCCTGTCTCGTTAATGCCCAGGCATGATGGGGAACCTATGAAAGAGCCACCTCTCCATCTTTGTCTCCCTGTATCTGTAGTTTGGAAGAAAATCAATACTGCTGTTTGCTGCTAAATTGTCAGACAGCTTTTGATGCTAATATCTGATGAAGCAGACATGCTGTTGGAGGTATTTACTCTCAGACAGGTTCTCTATCACCCACCATCTGCTTTTAAAGGGTCTTTTTTCCCCTCTTTTCCAGTGACTAATGGTGCATTTAACCCCAGAGAGCCTCTGATCTGAACATCAGAAAGTTTCTGCAGCAGAGGAACAGAAAAAAGGGGGTGGGGAAGGGAGGGTGGATGAGTTTCCTGTTGTTCTAACTTGGCTTAGTGGTAGGCTTTTCAAATCAAACTAGAAATCTCACCACTTAAGGCAGCCACCACTCAAATCCTTGATACAGCTGCCAGACTTGCAATATATTCTTGTTCAGAGCAGTGTGAGAAGCAGCACAGGTTGGGAAGCTGGACCATGCTACTGACCCATGTGGACAAGCCACATCAGCTCTGTCCACTCGCTTGGGCTGTACAAAGACATTAACAACACCTTCATAAAGAAGCATCAGGTCTACAGATGAAAACTGCAGGGATGGGAGGCCTTCTGTTTTTTAGTGTTTGGGTCCAGGATCATCCCTAAAGGCAAGACAGAGATTCACAGAAATATCAAGTGTGATTTCTAGGAGCATGGCAGAATTCTGCAGTACCTGAAAGACACAGGAGGAAATTCTGTGTCATAGTCTTTCAGTTTTGCGTTGGCTGAAATAGGCTTTCTGCTCAGGAAAGTGTCAGACACAACGGTTACCCCAGTTCTTCCAGGCACTGTGTGGGCAGAACAGTGTTGGTGTAACTCCTGCTGTGCCAGGAGGTATGTCCCAGGCAATACCTGTGCTGCCATCCAAGCTATAAGAGCAAAAGAACCTTATTCACTGGGCTTGAACCAAAAATCACAGTGGGATTTGGTCTCCAAGGTCAAAAGGCTCATTGCATTGATACATGGAGAGCCTCCTTTTTATTCTACAGACAAGTCTGGTAAAGCACAAGGTTTTTCTGGAATTACAGTTTCAATCTACACACTTTCCTTAATCTTTCGGAGTACTAGATCACTGCATAGAGTAGTGCTCTGGTGAAGGATCTCAGGGCTACAAACCCTCATCAGCCTATGTATTATACAGAGTGGAGAGCAAACAAGAGTTCTGGAAACTGAGCAAGCAGGAAAAATGGAGAAAACAGTGACTTACAAGAAAGGAATCACAATTTCTTGGTTGAAATCTTGTGCACCTTTTAATGGTATAGCACAAAATAGTGCTATACTATTCAGTTCTCAGAACTGGACGAGAGCAAGGGAGACAGAAACTGCCCCAAGAGGAACGCATTTGATTGGCTTCACAGTATAAGCTGATTAATGCTGAATGACTTGGAGAACTCAATTCAAATAACTGCAATATCCTAGAACACTGATGTCCTGAAAGTCCCAAACCCTGTGTCTACTACAATCTCCAGGGGACAGCATAATAACAAGTTAGATGCTGCTTACACATCTTAGCCTGATGTGCCTGTGCAGTGTTTTAATGCACGTGGCAGCTCCAGGATTCAGAAAGTCTGAACCCCTCAGAGCTGAGGTTGGTCTCCCCGACTAGTGACTCCCTGACTTCATCTTTGCTTAGGCCATGAAAATAGTTTGGCATAAAAGAATACAGAAACCCCTAAGAGGTTTACAGGCAGTTTTCCAGCTTTGGCAACTATCTCCACTTAAAGTTCATAGGCAAAATTCTGCTTTGTGTGTGTTCCGACTCCTTTGCAAATTGTGCTGCCAGAGCTGTCAGTGCTGCAGACCGACCGATTGACAGCTTAGCCTCCAGCCAGAATTCTCATTCAAAGGAATATCAAATTCGGGGTAATAAGGTTTGCATGAAATTTTTACCTGCAACAGTTCCCCAAGGTGCTGAACTGCATGATACTGACTTACACAATACATCATTTTAGCAGTGGAGTTAAACACAATGCAAAGCAAGATTCGGTTTGATTTCTTTCCTTGTGATCATAGGCATTATACCACCTCTGATAGCAGTAAGCCATTACTTCCATTATGTTGTAGTACATAAACATCAAATACAAGATTTTCTTCAACAACTGTTTCAATCAAATGTTTAAATGCAGGCTTTAAAACAATATTTCAATTGTAAAAATAAAAAAATGAAAACAAGAAAAAGCTGGTTTTAGGTGAAACATTGTAAGTATGTGAAATATTGAAAAGGACTGCTTCAGTATTATTGAAACACTTTAAATGTATTAAAAATTAAGTGTTAGAATGGAAATGTTTCTGTAGGCAATTGATTGAGATGAAAACACAGTTTCAAACTTAAAAATATTCCATTGAAAATGTTTCCAATTGCATTTTCTAGTGGCCAATTTTTCAATGACATTTTCCAAAGAACAATCTACATCCGAAAATTTTTCAGCAGGCTCTTGTGAGCTCTTAAAGGAGAGAAGTAGTAGTTTCCCAATAGTACATTCTGAAACATGGTTATTAGCTGATGCTTTACAGCTTTTTAAGAAGTAGCATAGCAAATACAGGGCAATGACTTGGACTTTCTGTTAATTCCTTTTGAACTTAAAATACAAATTACTGAGAAATGTTCCCAGACTTCAATTAAAAACCTTGAGTGATCTGATTTTAACGTGGGTTGATTGATAAATGTTGCTTACCTGAGGTAGAGATCCAGGACTGAGATCAAGCTGTGTGTGTCAGGCTGCTTGCTCTGGTGTGCAAGGGTGGCCTCCAGTTCAAACTTGGGTCTGCAGATGGCATTTTTCTCTTTATTAGACTGAATTTATCTGAATTTCAGTGGTATCTGCAAGTCATTATTAATCATAAACCTTACACCAAGTGCTGTCCAGCAACACAAAACCACCCACAGAACAATCCAACATAAAACTTATCACACGTTTACACTTTGATGAGAACAGGCTGAGAGTCTGCTTTGGCTTGAGTTGTGATACTGTTTATCACAAACATTTACAACCTTCCCAATTGCCATTTTGTTTTCTTAATCATTGCTTCCAGTTTTTCAACCATACAATCAATGCTGAGGCTGGCTATGCCCATGTAGACATTTCTGTATGTGATGAGGAGCCCAGGTTTGTAGATATTGGATGTATATGCGAGGAGGGAAGTGGCTGGTACCTAAAGCAATACCTCACAGTGAGACTTAACAGAATGAAAAATACTGCAACGATCTACAGCCCATGTTCCAAATTTGCACTGCAAATCTGTCATTCCAGGACTTGCAATCCACACTGATTCCAACTCTCTGACATTTTGGGAAATTCATGGCTTCTTTTCAAGCCTGTAGATTCGAATATATTTCAAAAGATGCAAAGGTTAATTTCTTCCAGTTTAGACGGACAGCATTTGGATCTAGATCACAAGCATCTTCTTGGGTAGTGTAAATGACATCGTCTCCTTTCACTTTGCTGCAGTCCTGCAATTCATGCTCCCAGCTATAGATTTGCCCTTTGAGCTCATATCCAGAAGTTAAGGGGGAATATAGTTTTCCATCCTTCTCCATTGAGTCAGAGAGATGAGGATAATGCAGACTACAGCACACAGCTCTATCAGTGAACTTCAGCAGAGTCTCATTGCTTTGCATCACATGAGTAGAAAACCACAATGCCTTATAGTTTCTGCAGAGCTGAGAATTTATGGGACATGTACACAGATACCAAGAAGAAAAGTCTGTTCCATGTATTCATTCCTCTCGTTTCACAGAAATAATTAGATCTTTTCTTATCATCTCCCTCAATCTCTTACTCCACTTCTCCCTTAAGGTGGTTTAGCTCTCCTAAATTACACATCTAAAAGCTAAATGCTAAAGGCCAGGCTAATTCTCTAGTTTCTTTCTAAAGTCCTTTAAAAACTCAAACAACAGCCAGTTCAGAAGGCAATTCATCTCAGCCTTAGATAGCCATCTACCTAAGTTAGACAAATAGCTCTTTAGAGGTGTATCTCCATTCATTGCAAATGGAACCTCCTTTAGACTTTGGCACATACCTTTCCTATGTCTAAAGTTAAGTGAGATAAATCACATCCACAGCTGATGTCTGTGTAAAGAGGGCTCAGAAATAAAGCTATGGTGAGAGAAGATCACTGCAGAAACAACCACGGCAGACTGAGGTATCCCTCTGCCCCATGAGCCATCTGTTCCAGCCATTCCACCAGATGTTCCTGATCCCAGTGGCACAGCCGGTGGGACATGGACATCCTATGAGTTCTGTGTGGTGAGCAGTCAGCTTGTTGCTCCTGAAGGGACCCGATGCTGACCTGGCTGAAATTTTGCTGAAGCAGATGAGAATTATTCTTACAGACCTGCCAGGTATGGACCCCTGCCAATTCTCAGGTATGGACCCTGGAATCATCGCAAGAGGGGCAGTAACAAACCACAGGCAGCTGTTACACAAGGTTGCATTATCAGGACAAGAGGAATAAATGCAAAATGCTCCTGGAAGGCTTAGCTTCTCCAGCAGATAATTTCTTATTTCTGCTTGAGCTACAAAAGATCTCTGAAGAATCATCCAATTTGTTCTATATATACCTCAACTGGTTGTTATTCTTTGCCCTGGAGGGAGTTGCAGATTGTGCATGCAGCCTGTACTTTGTAAAGGGATTGCAAATAGTGGTGTCCCCTGCTTGCACAGTCCAAACAGATGGCATTGGGCAGGCAAAGAGCTATTCTCTGAGAAATGCTAGCTATGAACAGCCTCTCAAACATTAATAATTTGAGAAACACAGCAGCAGAAATTAGATGTAAAGTGACATAAACGACTTCTAGAAGATACCATTAGTTAAAAAATGATGCGTATGAAAGAGCGGAAAAGCACAATCCCACAAGCCAGCATGTACTGACCCAGCCCACCTGACAGACAGCCACAACATGAGAAGCTCACTGAAAACACAACGTAGCAGTTAATCTAGTGAGGGCAACCAGGCCAGATGTTTTGCTTGGATGCTGTTTGTGGTTTTATTGCCAGCTGCTCTATTCCAACCTGCAGCACCAAGATGGGGGACTGGGGATGAACACAGAAGCAAAGATAGATTTGTTTTTAAACGCATCTTAAAAGGGAGGAGCATGGTAAGGAATGAAGGATCTAAGGGTAATGGAAAGTACAACTCTTCATCTGTAGGTCAATTTTTATTGCATTTCAGATCAGCAATCGTGCACATCATTATCTGGTCAGTTTTATTGAATCAATTTGGCAGTCTCAATACAGTGTCTAATGCACAGAGGGAAAAATTTGAAAGACTGAAGAGATTTAGGAGTCTAAGTCCCGCTCATTATCAGTGGAACTTCAACTCTCTGAGGAGTTAAGTGCTTTTGAAAATGGAATGCGGTCTTCTAAGTCACATCCACACTTTTGAAAATATTATCCTACTTGGCCACAGCACAGTGCGATGCTTGCTGGTCTCCTTGCTGTCAATCATGGCAGAAAGGTCAAGGACTGAGTGGCTCACAGCAATTACTGGCTTATGAAATTCTCCTCTGCTTCTTCTCAGAACAGTCCCTCCTGTTGTGAGCAGGCATGTTGGCAGGAGATGATGTTGTAGAGATATATAGATTTCAGTGGTGAAACAGGGAAACCTGTTGTCTCAAGAAGGCACTGTGGTATTTTCCCCAAGTAAAAAGATGTTTAAAAATGAGAGATGTACAAATGAGTACAATGCAGAGGCAGGAATCAATGAAAAGAAACATTGGCAGATGTGGGAAGATGTGATGTGCCACTGGGACAGTGGAGTCTATTTTCCTGTAAGTGCCAGAACTGCAAAGGAAACCTGCAAAACTGTTAAATAAAATCAGGGTTTAAAAAGGGAGGGAGAACTGTCATTTTAATTAATGCCAGGAATAATAGGTATTTTATTCTTCTCTGATTAAAGTGGTTATGGAGACACAGGGCTACAGAGCTGCTGTGGCCACCAGTGGTAGTGTTGCTGTTGGTACCAACCAGCCTTCAGCTTCCTTGATCGGGTATGTTCAGAATCTCACCTCAGGGTGTGTGTGTGGCACATCTCAATTCCGTATCCTTTAGTCCAATCCCCACGTTTCATTTTTTTCCTCTTAGATTCCACTTATCTGATCTCATCAGAAGTTTTCAATGAGCCAAATGAGATCCATAGTTTTAACATAATAAATTACCCCGAGCTCCCTCTCAAGATCTTTGTCCTTCTCACATGTTAAACAACTGCTGTTCCTTAAGAAAGGCTGGTGAGTCAGAAGCTGTGGTGAGGCTGTGGTTTGACCCACATCCTATATCCCCAGCATCTAAGACATCAGCTATTCAGCACAGCCCCTGTTCTATTCCATAGATGTATTCCACCAGCAGGAAGTCCCCAGCCAGCAGGCATGAAACAGGAGTGAGCACTAGGCACCTAAACACAGAATTCTGTGAGCCCCTGCTCCACCTGGATATGTCCTTTTGTCACCAATAAGCTCCTATTTGACTTATTGGCTTTTATAGCTGATCTTCATCTATCCAAATGGTTTTACGCTGCTCTTCTCCGATCCTGTCTTTTATTGTTCGGATGAGATCTTCAATACTGCTCCATGCATCAGCCTCTACAGAGGCATAAAGACACGGCAGAGCTTCCAGTTCTTTCTCCTTAAGACGGCACATACGTAAAAACTCATCTTCAGTCTCTGGCTTTGGCAATAGTTTCCTGTATCAAATGAATGGACCAAAACCAAATGTATTAACACTTTAAGTTAATCCTGTAGTCCCAGCTGTCCCATCAAGAATTTATTTCCTATTGACTATGCAAGCAATAAAAGCAGTGGAAAATACAGTTACTCCAGGTCTATCATCCCCTTACCTCCACTCTGACCCCAGCGAGAAATATTTGCTATGGGGAAACAATTTATAAGGAGTGAATGTAGGGAGACTGCAAGTGTTTATGACCTTTCCTCTTCCAGCTAGCATTACCTTGAGAAATGCTGTGGGAGTGCTGAGCATGGAGAAAATCAAATATTCTTCAGTCTTATCCTCCCACAGTGCTCATTGCTATCAGTGGCACTGAAAGAGTACTTGATTTGGGGAATTCCTACTTCCTCAGGTTGTAAGATTTCAGGGAGGAGTCAAGGGACAAAATAGTGCACACAAAAGTACCAGATAAAGAGAGAAGAGGTTCTTCTCTCAGTAAGAACATTATTGGACTCGAGAATTAAGCACTGAAAAAGACAGAGTATCTAATATGCAAAAGGTTTGATGTTACCTGAACCTCTTGATGTTTTTCTCTGAGACTCTGATGAAAAGAACAATAGGATATATCTTGGCTTTGATTAAATCCTTTGTGCAGCTTATTCCGGCTTCCAGGAGACAATGCTTGTTCTAAAAACAAAGTCATAACACACAGTCACAAAGGAACATTCATTGCTGTGGAATCTCGAGATAAAGGTATCCATACCTTATGGGGTCAGCTGAAAAGCTCTTCATTTACCACTGTACTGATTTAAAAACTTTTAATCAAATATACATTTAAAGTCCAAAGTCCTCCTAGGGGTTTAAAACTAGTCAAATAACAGCTGAGCTTAATAGCTTTCTGAAAAGGTTTAAAATAGAAATGGATTGATCTAGAGATGAAGAGTATGATCAAATACCAGTTTTGCATAGATACACAAACACACATAGTTGCCCTTTATTCAAAGAGAACATCTACTGCAACTAGTTGTGAGAGAAAAAAACATCACTTTAATTCTCCCTTTTCCATGCTGTGCATCAAATGCACTCCGTGTAAGATCTCTGTCTGACATTGTTATCTTTGTACTGTACAGCCTTGTGTCTGTGTCTCAGGCTATCCTTTCTTTTGTCCAGGCCCCTGTATCTCTTATTCTTTCACATATTCATATATACTTATGATATGAAAAGGAAATGAATAAGGGATGAAGCCAAGAAAATGAAAGGATATTTTGCTGCATCAATGTGGGTCATCACAGGGAATGAGCGAGAATATAAAAGGATGTGGCTGAGAATAAAAAAGAAAAGGGAAAGCTAGAGCACAAATAAAAGCCATTTTGGGGGGGATAAATACAAATCTGAGACTGAAGGTTGGCAAGAGAGAGAACATGCAATGTGAATTGGTCAGTCCCTTATTCAAGAAGAAAACATACATTGCAGAGAGTGTCACAGACAGCCTACCGAGAGGATACAGAGTACTCTAAGCACCTTGGCAGTGACAGCCTCAATATTGGCAGGTATGATACATTCATACATGTTCGCATTCTTTTCTCTGCTGAAGATGATAGTCTCCGTTCTTTGTTTCCTTAAAAACTCTTCCTTTGTTACAATATCTGGAAAGAAATGAGAACAAAATCAAGGTAACAACACAGAACACCTAGAAAACTATCCCATAGTGTTTCACACAGGATATAAGGATGGTTCAGGGAAAGAGCAGCAATGAACTGTCTTAGCAGCTGCCTCATTTCTTCCATTGAATTCAATTAAAGCCTAATCTGATCACAGCTGAGCATCCCAGCTATATCCTGCACCAGCGAGTCCTTGGGCAATTACTACAACACTATGAAGGCATTAAATTAAAACAGTAAATACAATTCCCATGCCTAATGTTATATAGGAACATTTCAGGGCTGGATGATGCTGAGAAGCGCTAAAAAAAAGGAGGTCTCTTCGGTATAGGCTCCAAACCCAAGGATTCAGTGTTCCAACATTTGTGTTTAAAGTTACAAAGAATTTGGCTTAGGTTGCAGTGTGTGGTACTGGCCCCCTTGTGAATTGCAGCTCTACATCAAAGCTTTTGTTTTATGTTGCAAGACAGGGGATATTTATTATAATACTTAACTTTTCAGTTTGCCTGGGTAACTGCAAGACTGCAAGACTATGCGGTGGGTATTCAGCATTAGTGTAAAAACAAAACGTCAGCTATGTTTAACGCTGCGTTGTATACAATCCTGCCCTACAGCAATCACTGGACTGCATACTGCTTTAATGATAAATACTTAGCATGGAAGAAAATCAGTTTCCTTGAGCAGATCAAATGCACAATCTTCACAGCCTTGAACGAGCTAGAATTGTAAAGTCGCTCTAGGGAAGATATTCCTCATAATGGAGAATACGAGAAACAAATTAATCGAAATTTCACAACGCCTAGATACGCAGTATGCAAACTGTATGCAAACAGAAAGAGCACTCCCAGCAGTTCAGTCTCTGAGGGGCATCCTAGCAACCACACAGCATACACACGGGTAATATTCACAGACACAGAATCTTGTGACCATGTGCACTGGCTGTCTCAGAAACACTCAAATATCTCAGATATTCTCAAACAGTAGAATTTACAGCTACACATCGCCCTGATGTGACTTGAAGTCCCTCAAGCAGCTATCACACATGTGAGCGCCCCTACTTGTGCGCGCATACATATGTTCTTGTTTCCAACACTGAGGGGTAACAGTCGTGGTCCTCTTTTATCCCATTACCTGGCTTGCATATGTTGAATTCCAGGGCACCTCCGGAGTTGAGAAGCTTCTGCACCAAAGTCTTAGCAAGCATGGTGGGGGTGAAAAGTACAGGGCGCCTGCGCTCACAGTGGATTGGTCTCACGAAGCTATAAGGAATCAGGCTGAGCCTCTTATTGATTTCATTTTCAGAATCCAAATCTGAGTAAAGAGCAAGACATTTACCTTCTGGTTTCCTCTCCATTAGTATTTGAAGAAAAAGAAGGAGAAATGACATGCTTAGTCATACATGCATAGTTCTTTCTCTTTTGCCAGGGTTGTCTTTACTGTATATAAAGTAGTATGATGTCCAACCTAATACTAAATAATTCAAATACTTTTTGCTTTCAAGAGGTGATTTCACAGTTTAACTTGCTTAGGGAATCTTGCTGCTTATTAAGTGGACTTATTTGAGTTAAATGCTTTTGGACAAAGAATAAGAAATCACCTAAGAAGAACTGCCAACCAAACAGGGAGTTTCAGTGTCCTAAACTTGCCCATGAAGGCTTAACGCTCCAATCACTTAAAGTAAAATCAGTTTTGGTCACAAATGCTGTTGAATCTTTGCACAGAGTGGGCCACAGATGGCAATAATAGGAAAGGTCTATGATGTTTTTCATAGCCATGCTGTTAAACCAGCCTTTTTATCAGTGCTATGTGTGTAAAAGCTATTACTATTTTATATCCATACCTTCCAGTTTCTCAGGCAACACCTTCTTTGCTTCAGATGAGGTCCGTGCCACACCAGAGGGCCAGCCAGTGACGATACGGACTCGCTCATTGCTATTCATACGCTTGTATTTGTTTTCAGACCTACTGACAAACTGAAAAAGTGAACAAAGAGATTTGAACCTCATTTCTTACATTATTTATTCTCCCATGTATTCATCAGCCCACACTTTTTATCTATGAGGTCTGAATTTTCTATGTCTATTGAAGCCAAGACTCCCATGGATCTGTTGACTGAATTCTAAGGCTCTTTAAATATCATAGATCTCATTCAGAGCCTTTGTTAATCCCCTTTGGGATTTCTTATTTTGTTCTCTGCTCTTAAGCAGCATGTTTTTTAACTCACAGAACTCCCTGCTACCACCAGTACAAGCACTGATGTATCCACAGCAGAGTAACATATCCACTCTGAGTATTTGCACAGATCCATCACAGGTTATACCCAAAACTCTGCCTCTTTCTTTGCTGTGCCAGAGAGACCTAAAGCCTCCCCAAAGGCACATATTCACACTGAGAAACAGGGTGCATACTTTCATTTCTCATCCACGTTTCTCATCCATGTCTGGATATATCTATCCAAATATAAATTCTTCCTCCTATATTTGCTAACTTTCACAACCATCTCCCTTCACAAGACTTTTATCTTTCACCCACAGTCTCTGTAATGCTCAGAGTCACTGACCTACAATTAAAGGACTATTTTCTGATTGCACCTTATCTCACAGAACCTTGAGGATTTGGTCTAGCCCAATGTATTTTTCCTTGTGATTCAAGCAAAACACATTTCTGCCTCTGATGGCAGACATGTTTGATTCATCCAGCTAAATCAGTAATGGAAGGCATGCAGTTGAACACCCAACTTCACAAGAGCAATTAGAAGACACAAATCCAGTAATCTTTTTCATATATTAAATCTCTTTCTGATAGGAATAAATCCTGATACAACTGCTATAGGTGAGGTGGGGTTTCTGGGGAAATCAGGATAGCTTGAGAATATCTGGACAGGAGAACCTGAACATGAACATGAGAAACATCTGAACATGAGAAAACTGAACAAGAATCTGAACATGAGCTGGCAGCATGTGCTTGCAGCTCACAAACCGACCATAACCTGGGCTGTGTCAAAAGAAGCATGACCAGCAGGTCAAAGGAGGTGATCCTGCCGCTCTGCTTTGCTCTTGTGAGACCCCACTTGGAGTATTGTGTGCAGTTCTGGTGTCCTCAACATGAGAAGGACATGGAGCTGTTGGAGCAAGTCCAGAGGAAACCACAAGGATGATCAGGGGGCTGGAGCACCTCCCGTAGGAAGATAAGCTGTTCAGCCTGGAGAAGAGACGGCTGCGTAGAGACCTCACAGCAGCCTTCCAGTATCTGAAGGGGGCTACAAGGATGCTGGAGAGGGACTCTTTATCAAGGGCTGTAGTAATAGGACAAGGGGTGATGGGCTCAAACTTAAACAGGGGGAGTTCAGGTTAGATATAAGGAAGAAGTTCGTTACTGTGAGGGTGGTGAGGTACTAGAACAGGTTGCCCAAAGAAGTGGTAAATGACCCATCCCTGGCAGTGTTCAAGGCCAGGCTGGACAGAGCCTTGGGCAACATGGTCTAGGGTGAGGCATCCCTGCCTATGCAGAGGTGTTGGAACTGGATGATCTTAAGGTCCTTTCCAGCCCAAACCATTCTATAATTCTTTGATTCTATGATCTGCTGCTCAAATCTACTATTTCAGACATTGCACTGAAGATTTGACCTTTATTACCTGTAATATTTGGCCCAGAAGAAAGCTTGCTCTGGAGAGGCGAGGGCTGGTTTTTGGGTCACTCTGTGGTGCAGGCTCCTCTGGCTGCAATGTATTCTAGTGAAAAATAACAGGATTTTTTTTTGTTTTATTTAATCTCATTCAAGAAACAGAACATTTACTATTTCCAATAAAAGGATAGTGATAAATTGATATCTATCTGGAATGCAGTGTTCTAAGCAAACTGTAGACATAGCATGGCCTACAGTGAGTAACACCACTTCTGTTACTGCTCTTCCACATTCCTTTCTGCACAGGAGACTGCTCTCCACAGCTGCAGAAAGAGGTAATTTCTGCACCAAGAAACAGCATGCAAAGCTTCTGCTTTAACTACCATCTCTGCCAGTGATCTCTATCCCTTTGATCGATGGGGACTAGAGTACAGAAGGAATGCATGACACTTAACCTTGACTGAAATCAAACACATGCATTGGCTACAGTGTCTGCAAATGTTTGTCTCCCAAGCTCTGATAGTAACTTACGGTAACTAATACACCAGGAAGTCAGTTTTTAATTATGTAAGGAAGGAATTCTTGGGTCTAAAGAAAGAAAACTCAATTTACTTTCACTGAGGGAAAAGGAGAAATTGGCAGGGCTGTTGTGTGTGAAGACCTGATAATCCCACTTCTCTCCATAGCATATAGGTTGGAAGAGACAGGTCTATCTAATATGGGACAATGATAGCTCTGTGGATTAGATACTTGCTCACAGTAGGAAAGAAATCATTCTGATTATTGACTTCAAGGATACAGCTTCTTCCTTATGTGCATATGAAGATGCATTAGGGGCTTACAGGCAGAGAAGAATGAGAAGGATTAACTGTAACACAGAATAGATATTAAACTTTTAAAGCATATTCCCTCATAGCTGGAAGGGTTAATAGTGTGCCAGCACTAGGTGCTTTGCCATGGATAATATTGTTTAAAGCAAACATAAGTTGCCCATTGGCTGACATAATCAAAACGTGGAAACAGGACTTTGTGTAAAATTAACATAATGAACAAGTAGCAGTGGAGTATCAGATGTTAAAAGACCCTGTTTGTAGCTACTTACCCGAAGTGCCCAAAGGGTATTATGTGAGCTTTCTGTCTCATCTCTGCTCCCTCTGTGCATCAACCGCTGCAGCTTCACCAAAAGAAGCTGCTGGGCTCTGAAAGACAGGATGGAATCACATAGATCAAGATATCTTTGAAAACATTCAGAAGAAAGCTGGATTGCAGTGGGTCTGTGCCTACAGAAAAGATTAAACAGAAATAGCAGTGAGGACTGACTGAACCACACAGTAACACAGGAACAAAATAACGAGCAGGACTGCAGTACAGTTAAGGATTAAAGAATCTCCATGGCATATTTTCCTATGATACTTTTTGAGAAGCCCACATTATTCTTTCAGGTAACATCTGGAGTCTCCTGTCTAAAGCTTTATAGCTATTATTACAGTTTAACATCACCAGGCCTTATCTCAAAAAATTAAGACATATACCTATTTCCTTACAGCAGTTATTAATACAGAACCACTGCTCTCAGCCATGGTCACTCAGCATTACACTGACCTGCTGTAGTTGGGAATGGTCCCCATTTCCAGGTCTCTGTCGGTGAACAGATCAACTCTGGCACACAGCCACTCATACCTCCCCTGGTACATGGTGTCAAGAATATGAACAATCTCATCACATTTCACTGACAGGGAACAGCAGTCCAGCTGGCTGGAGATGTTCAGGTTCAAGCGGATATGAAATGAGTCCCCCGATGTGATCAGCCCTTCTTCCAGCTCCGACAGCAGCTTCCTGTAACCTGCAGCAGTGAAGAAAGGGGTGAAGCATCATCACTACTGGTCAAACCTCAGTACTGCTGCATTCCTGGGCGTCCTCGTGGAGAAACACACAGCACAAACTTCTGAGGCTCCCCTGAGAGAGAGTTAATATTTCCAGAGTGCTTGTTACACTAGTTACCACAAGGTTATGGACCTGCACCTTAAAGACACCAATGGGGCATTGATTCAGAAACAGCTCGTGCTGCTGGTATCAGAATCTGTGAGAATTTTCTTATTATATTTCTAATAATATTACTTTTAGGTAACTCCACTTTCAGTCCTTTACATGACCTGTGAACAGAGAACTTCTCATCAAAGATGCAGACACAGCTATAGCTCCATCCTGTAAGTACAGCTTGAGTTCTACCACCAAGTTTAATGACAAGCTATTCCCTGTATTATTATTAGCTGTAATTGGTACTCCCATAATCAATTACATGCTATATGTGCAGTTGACTGATGCTCAAAAATGCAATAGTGTTTCCCAGCTTTGAAACCATGAAAGAAAATCAAAGACATCACTTCCTGTGTGATCTATGGAGCTGAAATTCTCTAACCAGCATTAAAATAATAATAAAAACCAAACCCTGCAAATTTATATACACCAGTAAAAAAATGGATCTGGGAATGTAATTTTTGATCCATAACCTGAAATTATCATTACAGGCCATGAACACTAAAATCAAATTCTATTCAGCACACATGAACTCCAGCTGCTAAAGATAAAGGCACAAAGGTAATAAACAGGGCAACTCCACCAGGTAAATGCTAAATTGACTTCAGCTCATTCAGCTCACCGCATTGTGTTACAGAAAAATGCATATAAAAATAAGCTTGAGTGTGTTTTGTCAGTCAGGTCATTATAGGCCCACCACGGAAATTCTTGAGTCCTGTAGTGACAAGCATATGGGCTTTTTTTTGTTCTCAGTCACAAAGCTAAAAGCTGGAGCAGCTACACAGAGTAGCTATAATTAACACCAGTGGGCATGCTTCAGATTTGTACCAATACAAAGGACATTCTGGTTCTGTCATTCTCATCCAGACAAGTTAGTATAATAGACCTGGGACTATTGGAGATGAGAAATACTTTTGGTCTTACCTTCATGATTTGATTTATACTGGAGTGTTACTGGACCACTGCACCTCTGAATTGTCCAGTGAACTTCTTCCTTTGTGCAAGTATCCAAGGGAACACTCTGATTTTCCCCTTTAATGCAGCCCTCCAACTAGACATGAAAGAAATATTACTCTCCAGTGCAGGTTCAATCTCTGAGTCAATTATACCATCTTTTTTTTAAGTGTCATAATCTCTTTCTGATACTTTGCTATCAGGATAGAGATTTGACAATCCCAGTAATCCCAGTAATAAACTGTGCAGAAATATAAGATTTAGGGGGTTTTCCCCCTTGGAGACATTTTAGTAGGAAAATGGTTTGGGAACATTGGCAATGGAGAGAAAACTAAGCAAAGAGCAACTTAGCAGAAGCACCTGCTTAGGTGTTTTCAAAGGGGCTGTACTGTACAATACAGCATTAAAGAAAACATCTGTTGCTCTAATTTCTTCCATGCAGAGCTACTGTAAATTGCAAAAGTGTATGTACAGATGACTGTAAATACTATTATCCCGTGCGTTCTCAGTCAATAGGAGATTTTCTTCTGCATGAATCATATGCTTTGTCATTAGTACAAGATGAAAGAAGAAACAAAGTATGGTATAAGTGCATATGTGTGTAGGTGGACAGACATCTAATAGTGTTGATTACTTTATGCTCACCAGTAGGATTTGGTGTCCCTCCCGAAGGCCTGCTTTCTCTGCAAGTGATCCTGTCTTAACAGAGCTAATAAAGCTCCCTTTATCATTGCCCCCAACCAGAGTGATTTCCGAGTTGAGGTTGTCTCCATTCAGTGTTACACGCTGGACAGTATGGCAGGAGTTTCTGATGCGACCAACTGATGTGACAGAGGGACGAAAAGGTCTGTGTTCATGAGAGGAAGTAACAGTCAGTTATCTCAGGTACAGCTACCACTCCAGAGTTAAATGTGTATATGATAAATGAGAGACATGAATAAACTTTTAGTGTTATCAAGCACTAGGATCTAAGGACTCTAAAAGAAATCCCTCTCATTACTGCGTAAGTTCTAGAGAAGAGAATCTGGACAGCTTTAAGTACTAAAACATGACTGGGTAACTCAGGTGTATAACAGTACCCAGCAAGCTGTGGCAGCAAGATGACAAAAGCACAAGGATAATTTTAAGCGTCTTGAACATTTTGTCTGGCTTGAAGACTTTGAAAGTTTAGGATGACCTTCACTTGTTTACAGGATATGAAATGGCTCCAAAGTAACGTTACACTGCTGCCAATATAAAGAAGTCAACTGCTTCCAACACAGGAACAGAACTTACACTGCTGCCAATATAAAGACTACTTAGTACAGTATCATTAGATTTTTGTATCAAACAACCTGTGACATCATATTCCTGCCATTATATCTTCAGTCAGTATGGAGGATCTCTATCTACCATAGCAGCTTTTCCCCATAGTCTTTGCCTAAAGTAGGTAAAACTGGCATCTCAAATACCTTTCCAGAGAGAACTTTCTAAATATGGAGTTGACATGCTCAAGCTCGTAGGCATCCAGGCCTTCTGACTGATGAGAAGAGGAGGAAGAGTGCACTGAAGGAGCTCCATGTGACTGCCTGTCATGACTGTCATCTGAAAAGAGTAACAAGAATGAAAATGAATCCTAGAGTGACAACGATGGAAAAGGGGAAAATGAATGTTTGATTGATCCCAGCCAAGGCTGTAGGAGGAAATTCCTTCTCCCACTTGGTTCTTCAGGAATAAGTGCTTTTTCATTCTTACCACCAGCTGATCCTTTGTTTTCTTTTTACAACTCTATGACTTGATTTTTGTCTCAGACTATGTGTCCCATCTTAATTAGACCAGAAGTTAATTATCTGACAGTATCTGTAGGTGGTGAGCTAATCACATAGATCCCTCAGTCAAACTTTATATATCATTTTGCTTACCATCCAGCTCCAAAGCATCATATCCAAAGCTGTCATTGTCCTCTTCAACCAGGCTGGAATTAAAACAAAGCATGGGGGTGTTGGTTGATGATAAACTGAACATGAGCCGGCTTCAGTGTGCGCTTGAAGCCCAGAAAGCCAACTGTATCCTGGGCTGCATGAAAAGGATCGTGACAGCAGGTCGAAGGAGGTGATCCTGCCCCTCTACTCTGCTCTCATGAGACCTCACCTGGAGTATTGTGTGCAGTTCTGGTGTCCTCAGCATAAAAAGGACATGGAACTGTTGGAACAAGTCCAGAGAAGGGCCATGAGGATGATCAGGGGGCTGGAGCACCTCCTGTATGAAGATAGGCTGAGGAAGGTGGGGCTGTTCAGCCTGGAGAAGAGAAGCCTGCGTGGAGACCTCATAGCAGCCTTACAGTGTCTGAAGGGGGCCTATAGGGATGCTGGGGAGGGACTATTCATTAGGGGCTGTAGTGATAGGACAAGGGGTAACAGGTTTAAACTTAAGCAGGGGGAGTTTAGATTGGATATAAGGAAGAAATTCTTTACTGTAAGGGTGGTGAGGCACTGGAATGGGCTGCCCAGGGATGTTGTGAATGCTCCATCCCTGGTGGTGTTCAAGGCCAGGTTGGCCAGAGCCTTGGGTGCCATGGTTTAGTGTGAGGTGTCCCTGCCCATGGCAGGGGGGTTGGAACTGGATGCTCTTAAGGTCCTTTCCAACCCTAACTATTCTATGATTCTGTTCTACAATGGAAGAGAGAAAGCGGTTCACATTCCAGCTTCAAGAGATTTCATGAAGTTCTAAAGGAGAAACTTTTACTGTGGTAAAGAAGAATGTTGGAGGTGCTGCACCAGAAAACAGTGCAGCTGCAAAAAACAAGCCAGTAACCTATTTGTGAGCCCAGGGAAGATGCAGGAAGGTGGCAGGAAGACACAGTATGTGTTGCCAACATGGAAAACGTAAAGCAGCAAGAAGGTCCAGAAGGAAGAATTGCTAACAGCACTGAGGAAATGAAGATTTTGCTGAAGTCAAAATGAAGCTACTGACTGATGGGTTCATATGTGTGACTTATAGCACACCTGCTTCAGCACTGAGATGAATGGTTGCAATGTGTCTGCTGTATATCTACTGCAGCGGGGTTTTTTGTCCATGAGAGATCAAAAATGTCAGCAGCTCACTGATGGACAGAGCAAACGTAAGGCAAGTGTCTGATGTGCAGTAGTAAAGGAGTAATTTACCTGCTGGATTTCAAGTACTTGAAGCATTTTATAACAGCTTAATGGCACCTTGCATGGTTACTCGGATAACTACAGTAACAGAATGGCAGGCTTTCATACAGAAACTCTCATGCCACAGCTCTGATCCCAGTCCAGTTCCCACTGACACCACCTTTCCTGTTAAGGGTAACTGGATTGGTTGACCTTAAACAGTTAAAATCCACCAATATGTTGCTCTTAAGGGGGTATTGGGGATGTCCAGCCAAGTGAGTGAGCTGTCTGACTCACTAGGACTTCATTAAAGCACATCCTTTGGTTGCAAAGCTGTTTAAATAACAGCTTGTTTTTCCCATTTAGAATGATTTGTAGGTCTCCTGTGGAGCTGATATTTCTCATAGTTGGCTTCAGGTGAAGGGTGAATTTCTGCAGCCAGTCTGGGGAGAATCGTCTATTTTTATACCATGCCTAAGCAGGGAAATAATATACCTTTCCCTACATTACATTATGATCTCAATCTCACTTTTTCCACACAAATTAAGATCAGATGGACTGTGAAACCTGCACTATGACATGTAAATAGCAATTATTTTGGCTTATCTTCACAAACAAGTTAAAAAGCCTCAGCAGGTTAATATAAACTTATAAACTACAGTGAACTTCAGGGCATCCTCTTGAAATACTTGACTTTAGTGATTATTAGCTCAGCAAAGTAAGGCCACATTGAGACCCTGCTCTTGGATAGCTCCTTCTTTCATATGCCAGTGGCACAGAGTATAATATGAGGAAAATATTCAGTCTTCCAATGTCTTAACACACAGAACAGGACACAGTCAAAGCTGCAGTGAAATAAGCCCACAAGATGAATAGTATCCATGTAATCTTTACTGCTGTCTGTTATACACTGCAGATATTTCAGTGTTTAGGCATGCCAACGGCTTTTCAAGTTAAGCACATGAAACATCCATTAAGAAAACAACCCTTTTTCTCCAACTTGAATTAACACAACACACTTAAAAAAGGGCCTTGGAGGACAACAGAGGAAAAGCTAAGGGAGATGAGTATAAACTCCCTTGGCAGGGTAGAAAATGATGTGGGAGAACTAGCTGAGGAAGCCCTCAGTGGAAAGCTGTCTTGCAAAGCTTTACACAGAGAAAGAAAGGCAAAAGTGGCAGTCTGCCAGAGGTGAATTTGTTTTGAAAAGGATTAGAAATCTAAATCAAGTTCTAATAAAGATTAGATCCAAAAAAATTGATCTAATAAAGATCCAAACCCTCCACATGTACTGCTTTCTTCTACATTGGTTTGCCTGGGCTTTGTTCTTTTCTCCTTCTGCTTGGGACCTTCAGGGAACGTATTTGTGTCTTCTGATATTTCTGATACAAACCCTGATGCTACTGACACCAAAAGAGTGTGTCCAAGTATTGCACTGCTCTAAACCTTTCAGGAAAGGGGTCAGTGCCATGTAGAGAACTGTGAGGCAGGCAAGGTCTCTCCTTCCTGCCACTAATTTCCCATTTGCCTGCTGATCTGATTTCCCTCAGAGGGGAAGTCCATGGGGCCATGGCACGATCAGAAGTGGAAGCTACAGCAGGAGGTGAAGCAGAGGGCAGTGCATGTCTCTCTCTTCATTGCTATGCTGAGATACAGAGCACTGGGCCTGACAAAACCCACCTCCCTCCTCCACTTCCCCCCATCCATTCCATACAGAAATTCAAGCAGCTCTGCTCTATTTTGGCAGCTTACAGAGTAGAAGGAAGGGCTGTGAGTGAAGGAGAAAGGACAGGGACACAGACATGGGCAGCATGGGGCTGAGAAGCAAAAAGTGAAGTCGTATCAGTCTACACAGTAGAGCACATTCTCCAATAGCATTTGTGACTGTCGTTTCAGTACTGTTAAAAAACTCAGTGTAGCAGCGGTATCACCATGTCATTCACCCCAGATGAACCATCAGAACTCCTGAGTGGTTTGGACAAAATGAAGGATGAAGGACAGCATCCTTGAGAAGTCTAGCAAGTTAGTCCTGCTGCCTAGTAACAGCTTTCTAGCTAGAGACAGACACATGGATATGCCCCATCTCTGTTCAAGGACAAGTTGGACAGAGCCTTGGGCAACCTGGTCTATTGAAAGGTGTCCCTGCCTGTGGCAGGGGGTTGAAACTGGATAATCTTGAAGGTTCTTTTCAACCAAACCATTCTATGATTCTATGTTCTACAGCTCTTTTTAACCTCCTGCTTGTGACAACAGGTTCCAGGTGTATTTCACCAGCATGGTCACCTACCTGCAGTGAGGGGTGTCCTCTTTGACACGTCGGACTATTGAATCATTTCCCGGAGGCTCAGGAGTCGTAGACATGATACTGTCATTGCGATTCCTCAGGGTTTGCTTTAAAAAGAGAAAGCAACAGAAAGCTTATGTGTCTTAAAAGTGCTATAATTTCTAACCTACATCAGCATTAGCCTGCTAGCTTGCAAGTGGTACTCTGCATGGTAAAGCACACACAACAGTAAGAAAAATTGATTCTTGATGCACAGAATGATACATACAAGAGTATTCCTAGTCATATATTCCCTTATTTTAGCAATATGTACAGTATTTTCTTTTATGACCCCATGGCTGGCTGATTTATCAAGTAATTTTCATTCTACCCTTGAGCTATGGTCTATGTTGCACAGCTGACATAGAGGAGGAAGCAGATGAAAAGCTGAACGCACGTATACTTATAGCATACTTATATATATATATAAATAGTAGGAATGAGGAAGAAAAATATAGATCTCCATACATTAAATTATTAGTCTAGTACACTGGAAACTAAACTTCCTGAAAACTAGAGGAAAGGTAGTATAAGTCATCTAAACGTCCAACAGATATTCCAGAGAATATTCCTAAGCAAACTAATCTCATTACAAGTTGCAGGGAGTTTTTTCCTGGCTATTCTTGGGTATAATTTTAATTTCCTGGGGCAGCATTTTTCACGGTCCTCTAGAAAGATGTTTTGTTCTTTGTTATTAACACTCTGCAAGAGCACTCTGTCTGTCTGCTTGTCCTGCTGTGTTAGTGCTCACATACGTATAATGGAATAACTACCTTGGGAGATTATGGGGATACAGCAAGCAGGGAAGAAATGATTTGGCTATAGTATGCAGAAATTTCCAGCTGTGATGTGCACCCCTTTTCTCACTCACTGTTACTTATAGACAGGAAAAGCATTAGAGAACTAAAAAAAACCCACCCTGAAATGTTTCTTAAACAAATTTCAAAGGAGCTTTTAAAGAAAATCTCTTCCTTTTAACAGTAAATGTGAAATGCCATGAGGAGACAGCGAGAGGTCATAAATACCTTTCAAATATCTTTAAATAAACATAAACCAATTGTGGGATTTGGGAAAAGGCTAATAACATGGTTCGAACAAAATGCTGGTAAAAGGATTAAGGGAGCCTCTGACAAGGGCCTTGAATGTGATCACAGCTGGGATGCTAGTGAAGTGCTAATACTGGGCTGTGAAAGCAGCGAACCACATGAAGAGAGGCAGTCATAGACAGGCAAAGGGCATCTGAAGGCTCCTTACAATCTTGCTGACTTCACAGCTGCTGATGGAGTTACTGATGGAAACAGAGGAACTCGTGTCCGTGCGGCCATTGCTGGCATCAGCCCCATCTTCATCCTGAGCTCTGACTGCTGTGCTCACCAATAGAGAGAAATACAGATAAAATGCTCTCAGATCAATTTCAGTACAGACTCTCACAGATTTGCAACAACACTTGGGTTATCTTTCTACTTCACCTTATCTTGTTTCCCCCTCCTTGTACTACTGGACAGGGGCTCCAGCAAGCACACTGTGCCCTGTAGCTGTGGCTGCCTTTACTTCCTCATTGGCTTCCCAACAAAGAACAGAAATAGACCCCACTCTGCACAGCCTCTCACTTTTTCTTTCAATTCCATCCTGTATGGTTTTATCAGATCTATGAATACCATTTGACAAATTACAGAAGGACTTTTTAATGTATAACTTCATCATCTGCATCTGGCAGTCTGCAATAAGGTTGGCTCACTGAATTATGCTTTTTTTTACAGCAGAAGAATTACAACAGGGACTGAGAAGCTTGAGATCCCTCAGCAGCCTCAGTGTGACAGTGTGAATGTCTTTGTGGCCTCCTGCCCTTCCTCTGCACCTCTAATTTATACTGATGTTGCACATTACCCGATACCAACAGTACTGTTTAGCATGCAATATCTTGCAGCAGTTTCCCATCATATTCTGTACACCAGCGAGCATGCTGCTGCACATAACAAATAAAGGAAGTGCTGCCTCAGATGGTGTTTGGTTTGAGAACAGTATTACATAAATAAGAGGAATTGGGAGTAGCACAAACATGAGTATACAGCAAAAGATCTGGTAACTTGGCAGCTGGCTGATGGGTGGGTCACCCACTTCCTCTAACCTCTGCAGTGCTTTACATTTCAAAGTCATTCCCTTTTGCCAAAGGACAAAGGAATTATTAGATGATCACTAAAAGAGGGTCTTTTGAGTTTGAAGGATTTCCCCAACAGCAAAAAGACAATAATATAATGACTTCCAGTACAGGGGACTACAGTTTCTGTAAACTAAATGGAAAACTGAGTAAACAGAAAGTTTAGGTAGTCTATGGGATATAACATTGTGCGTCTGTGGAGGTACGTTTGGATGCAGAGGACATCCAGGTAGAACACTTGACTACTTTAAATAACGACATTTTTAACTGTGACAGAAACTGTCTATTTCACTCACTTGGACTTAGTTAAGAAGTGTTTGTTAAAACAACTTAATGAGATTAAGTGAATGAGACAAAGCAACAGAAAAGGAATAAGGACATGGATGCTCTTTCTGACCTTGAAACTCTGATGTTTTGTTCATGCTGACAGGGGATTTAGCTCTTGGATTTATCTAAAAGAAAGAGGACAAAAATAAGCATAAAGGCAGAATATTTGCCACAGATATTTTCACTCCCATTTTTAACTGTTCTGCTGCAAAATATTTCCCATCCTTTACACAGGACCCAAAATTTAGAAGACAATTTGGTATCTAGATGCCGCTGCACTGAACAAGAGTTAGTGACCGAACTACCTTTAAAAGCCTGGCCCAAATACACTGCAATATCCAGATTCTGCTGAGGGAACAAAGAGACAAAAGGTGAAGTGGGTGCCTTGGGACTGCTTTCAGGCACCTGTTAACACAACAGGCATCCTTTTGGAGCGTGTAATGTGAAAACTGCAGCTCTACTGCCATAAGTAATAACGACAGCCAGAGCTCAGGAAAGTTACGAAGGGCAGGGAGGAATCAAATGCAGAGGAAAGGAAAGAGAACCTCAATCCTCCAAATATTAGACTGTATTTTTTTTACAGTTCATGAATATAGCATCAGGTAATAGCTGTACAAATGCAGCTGGTCGAGGAAATGGCGGACCTAACTCATGCTATCCCTTAATCTTAAGCGAGAGGAAATTGCTATAATTCAACTCTAAATTAGGCAGATAATTTTGCTCTAGATTGTGTCCATTTCTATTAGTCCTTCCAGCTGATGTGAGCTTTCCCACCCATGCTTCTTTATCTACCTTCAGATACTTGTGTGCTGGACTTCAGGCATTATGTCATTTTTTTCTTCCTCTACTGTTAAGGAGGCAAAGAATCAATATATTGACAACGCTCCAGGAATGTGAATGAGCAGCAGGAGCAAGGAGAATGCACAAAATGGGGAGAAGGGGCAGAAAATGGTCTATGAAGCCTGACTGTATCTACTCCTCAAGATGCAAATCACCACAGGGCAAAACCTGACAGCTCACTGTCATATACAGGTCTATTCTTGTCTTTATAACACACTTTCAGAGGCATGACGGCAACATGTATTATGTCTCTTACTTCTAACAGTCCCTGCACTGTATCATTACACCTTATGTTAAGACAAACCTGGATTCCCTTTAGATTCAGTCTTCTCTTGAGTCGAGCTTGATCAGGCAAGAAGAATTTGTTGTCTTCTGGAGACTCTTCAGAAGTGGAGGAGTCATCTGCTTCCTGACCATTGGCTTTTGGGCTAGGAGTCCCAAAGGTCTGGGAGATAATGGTGATGGGTAGATTCCGTGGTAAACTCTGAAGATCAGAAGGAAACACTTTACTTTTGAGACCATGTTTTGGTACAACTCCTCATGACCTCCCTTTTAGAGTAATCTGATTGAACATCCTCTGACTCCAGTGCATCAGGAGCTGATGTTCCAGACCCAAGTCAGTAACCCAGATTGCCATTTGTGGGGATTTCTGTTCACTGGGGTGCATTCCTCAAAAGTATTTGTAGTTTCTACCCCAGTGTAGAAATTGTCTTTATGCATTTCTTTCCCTCCCACTTATAATCAAGTTATGGAATTCCAGACTTTGGAATTCCAGATGCATGACACAAATTTGAACCCCATTTGTATTGAATAACTCACACCACTGACATTTAGTCGAAGGAGGTTATTTTGTTCAAGTAACTCATGGAGGGAATTAAAGAAGTCCCCTCTCCCTTCCCCACCAGAATGCTTTTAAAAGCAAGTCTTGAATAAAGAACTCATATCTGTCTGCCTCATCCCTACCTGGTCGAGAAAGTTATTATCCTTGGAGAGCCGTCGGAGCTTGCACTCCAGGTTAACAATACAAGCTTCTTTCCGAACCACCTCAATTCGGAGTTCATCATTTCTCTCCTCCAGCTCTCGAATCTGCTTCCTGTATTTATCTTTTTCAATCAAACAATGGGAATACTGTGTCTGAGCCTCATCACGCGAGCGGAATGCCTGCAGTGGAGAGAAGAAACCTCTTACGCACCTGAGCACCAGATACCTTCTCCTGTTGATTTTGTTCGCAAAGGTGTTTGGAACAGGGACTTGAGACCTGGTAACCATTCACCACTTCACACAGCAGTTAGGACCAGGATGTGCCACAGTAGTCCCATTAAAAAGCACAATGATGAGGGTGGTTCCTTTCCAGCTCCCTCTTGGGTGGTGGCAAAATGCTCCAGAGTGCAAACCAGATGACTTGACACTATAATATAAAGCCTGCAGTAGCTGCTGTTAAGATCTTGGCCCTGCTTGCCAAATGCTACACAGTGGAAACAACTCGGTATTATCCTATGGTTAATTACTGTAATGCAAATTCCAACAAGTAGCAATTTCTTGTAACTGCTGATTTTTAATGGTATTTTGGGTCCAATAACCCACAGTTCCCCAAAGTGACACATGAGGTACAGGCTTTTGCTACTGATCTTCCCCACTTTAACTGTTAGATACCTGGTCTCGTTCCTTTTCCACCTCTTCTAGCTGTATCATCACAGTGTTCATACGGTGCTTGTACATCTCACAGTCTTTTCCTAGTGTTGAACACTTTAACTCCAAATCTTCTTTCTCTTCAAGATACTGGAAATGACACACTGTTAACTTCCATTGCTCTCAGAGGTCTTTTGGGCACTAGCCTGAGATATTCCATCATTCTATCCTTCCATTCCTCACCTTGTCTCTCAAGTCTTCCACATGACGAATCTCTTCTTGGAGATTAAAGATCTTGTTGACCAACTCATGACGATCTTCCAGTGCCTCCTTACGGTCGTGTTCCAGAATATCCAGAATGGCCTTGTCTGAATCTGGCAGACTCCGCTTGTCAGCCTGAGGAAAGATGTTTTTTAACAGGCAGACCAGGGAAAGAGAACACAGGATCACAGGGAGAAAAGTAACAAGGACAGTAACAAGCAAGAAGAATAGAAAATGCACCTGGTATGGCAATGGGAAAGCAGGAGAAGAGGTGGACATTTGTTCATGTTTTACAATGGTGTCAGAAAAGATGAATAAAGGTTGTCTTGCTGTCAGAACAGTCTGATGAAGGAACTGGTTTATTGTACTGGCTATAATTTGATCCATTTTGGATGCAGTGACAATTCTTCACTCCAAGCCCTGCATTCAAAACTCTTCTTTATTAATCAGCTCTCACTGAGCACAAAAATCACCCTTTGCCAAAGAGCAGGGCCTAAGAAAACGTTCAGGGGGATTTGGAGAGCACGCGTAGGCTTTGCAGGGCTGTGCTCAGAGAATATTAAGCTTCCTGGAGTAGCTTGTACCACTGCTTCATTTTCTGTAGTGTCCTGCAATATATTTTCTTTCAGATTTAGTATTAACAAGATTACCAGAGCAGCAAAGAAATTGACTTCCAAAATTAAGCATCAATGGAAGATGGAAAAGGCATAAAACGCAAGTAATACGCATATTTGTTTTTAAAATACCGACAGTAAGTTGGGAATTTCAGTGACATTTTAGTTATACAATATTCCTAAAGTACACCCAAGTATTTCTAAACCAAACTGCCTTTGCTGATTTGTGCTTTCACTTAGGAAAATTACATAGAATCATAGAATAGTTTGGGTTGTAAGGGACCTTTGACGGTCACCTAGTCCAAACCCCCTGCAAGGAGCAGGGACATCTTCAACTATAACTTCAACTTCAGTCCTGGTTTTAGCTACTTCATGATTATTTACCTGTTTCTTTAGGTGCTGTAAGACCATTTCAATTAATATAAGAGATTCTACATGGACCAGAACTTCCAGAACCTTCTACACTACTCTCTTTTTCAGTCTTTGAATTGGATTTGTGTTAGAAATAGGAATTGTTAGGCACTGCTGGAGGCTACAGCCATTTCTGAAATGCATTGTATTGATCATTTCCAAGTGTTATTTTAAAATGAAACAAACCTTTGCCAGCAAAGTGCTGAGCACTCTTCCATATCTCCCAATATTTGGCTAAGCTCTTCACCAAGTAACACAGTGCTAAATTTGCTGCATATGATCCTTTTTCCCTATCTGCCCAAAGAAAGGTTAGTTAAGAACCCTGTGCAGGTAACAGCAGTGTTGTACAAGGCATTCCAGTAACTAGAGACCACTCAAGTACAAAACCTTTATTACCCTCTGCTTCCTTAAGACATTTTAGCACAGATATGACAATAACCTAAAGCAGGGCGCACAGAGCCACTGTCAGGCTATTTAACACAGTGACAGAGCAGTACAAAGAACCACAACAGGGCTAAAACAGGGAGCTGAATGCTCAGAACTTAAAAAGCTGCACTCTGCACCTTGAAAGAGCCAATCTCTCATGTACAGCTTGATTTATGAGATGACAACTTTGTTTTTTCAGCAGAACTCCTCATGTATGTACAAGGAGTATTATGGACAGCTGGGAGCTATAGAAGAACCTGCTGTTTATCCAGACTTTGCACTTCTGCTTATTGCAGCTTTGCAGGTAGAGATTTCACCCAATGCTCCCTAGTGCTGTAACAAGAGTATGTGTTGAGTTTGAAGTGAGGAGAGACCATGCCACTTGCTCTTGAAATAGTCACCAGTTTCCCTGTTGTATACTCAAATCCTTGTCCCTTAGGTGGGAGCTGTCACCACCTGCTTCTTCTCTGTCTCCTCCAGACACTAACTTCGGAAGGGCAGACAGCAAGGCAGGAGAGCAGATGAAGGGTACAATAAGACAGTACAGAAGGAAAGTGTGGAGGTGCCTGCAGGCAAGGAGTGGTTGAAGCCTGCTGAATCACTGGGTAAGCAGGAAGGGTATGCTGATGTGGCCGGAATTTTAAACATACCAATCTGCTTTTATACCTGAATGATGGACTGTAGCTCCTGGATTTTAGTCTTCATCATCTCATTTTCCCGCTCCAGCTCCAAAACCTGTTCCTTTTTGGGTCGGTTTTCAATATCATTTTTCAGCTTCAAAGACTGGTTCCTCTCCAGCTTGCATTCCTCTTCCACCTTGTTCAAGCGATGCTTCAGCTGGTCAATCTAGAGCAGCCAGAGAGCAGTGAAAAGAGGAAGGGAGTCATTCCTAGCTCTGATATTTACCGCTCTGAAAACACCTTGTTTCCAGGTGAAAACATAGGTGGAAGAAATAGCTTAATACGTGAATGCTGATAGGGAGCAGCAGAAAATTGGTGTATGTGTGTGGGGGTGAATGCCCACAACTGAAGTGCTGAACTCAAGCAGAAGCCTGCTATTAGCTAGCTATAACTGGTATGGGCTGGTTGTAAATGTTTAAAACATCTGGATTAAAAAAGAGTGCACATCCCAAATCCTCCAATAAGTAGAGATATGAAATAGATTAACGCTTGGGAGACTGACCACACAATGTGCTTTTGCATATAAACGATTTGGATTGGGAAAAACAGGGGCTTTGAGTTCTGGATAGGAAAGAGGGGTTCACCCCCCAAAAGTAACTTCAGACAGAAGGGGACCTGGGAAGAAGGTGTTGATGATCATGAGTGGAGGAAAGATTTGAAAGTGGAGGAGTACCCTGGAGATCAGAGATGCACAGAATAAAGGCCAGGGGTGCCCAGGGACCTTGGCCTGTAATGTCTGTGGGTGCTGACTGTGAGCTGCTGCACAGCATGAACTGACACGATTTTCAACCCAACCATTCCACTCCCCATGGGAAGGGATGTTGAGCCCAAGAGAAGGCAGCACTGAACTGGGAGAGTGAGCAAAGGACTGTGACGAAGTGGGGCAAAATGACTGATACTATGGGTACAGAAATAAACCCCAGTGTCCAGATCCACTGTGGGCAGTTGTTTACTCCATCTCATCTGCAACACACACACAAGCATGAATTTTAGGGCACTTGAAGCATTGCTCTGTATTTCCTAACTGGCCTCAAGCTGTTCCAATGCTCTACATGAGCCTTTCTGAATAAACCCCCAGCAGCTGTAGTGCAAACCTGGGTAACTGCCCCAAGACATTATTGAGCCTGAAAAGCTAAAGTTATGTTTTTAACCTTTTGGTTTTACTTATGTTTTGTTAATCTATTCCAAGTATGTAAATTATCTGCCATTAATACACATCACTGCAGCTGGCATTTCTGTACAGCAATACCTCTAATTATCTGGTTAAGCAAAGAACATGAGAGCTCTACACCTTGCTGCTGTCAGAGAAGGTCTCATTTTGCTGGTTGCCGCCAGCATCCTCCACTGCTGCTCCTGATTAAAGCAGCTCAGAGCATTTCTCTCACCTCTAACTGGAGGTCTCGGCTCCTTATCACAGCCATGCTCTTCTCGTCACTCAGCTGGGCATACCTCATGGCCAGATTGTAGTTCTCATCTTTCACCTTGACCAGCTCATCATTGTAGTTGTTCCTCTCCTCCTTCATCTTGTTGTATCTCTCCTGGAAGGTCAGCAGCTCTATCTTGTTCAGTTTGAGCTGCTTTCGCTCATCCTCCAACTGGCGAGACTTGGCCAACAGTTCACAGCGCTGCACATCTTTTGTCTTCACTTGCTGCTGAAGCTTAATGATCTCATTCATTAGGAAGTGGGTAAGGCCTTCATGTCCCTCCTCCACTGAAAATGTTTGAACAGCTTTTCAGTGTCTACTGAAGTAACTTTAAGTAGGATTAGAAGAACTGAGTAAGAAATAAATGTCCCAGAATATGTACAGAGGTTCCAAATACACACAAATACACATTTGTGTATCTAACTGGCACCAGCACAAGTATTACACAGTACACTCTTACCAGAATTACAGTATACACACATACAGCTTGTCTGGATAGAATATGAACCCTTTGCATTTGTCTTGTTCCCGTTGAGCTAACAAGCCTTTGGAAATGACATAAACTTCGACAAACAAATCTGTACCAGTACCATTAATCTGGATGCTTCAAATTTGCTGCACATCTGTAGGTCACCAGTGTAATTCAGTTCACTGTTCCAATGTTCTTCTCTTGAGATTTCTTGCAATGCCTAGTATTCAATTTGAAGCTCTTCAACTTCATTCAGATGTTCCTTTCTTAACACATTACCTGTGGCTAGCACATTTTGTATTGAAGGGGACTGAAAAACTGCAAAATGCTACTGTAAAATTAGCTTTTATTTCCATTTCTTGCCTGAAAAATTAAAGCCAGTCTCCAAGACATTCCTTATTCAATAAGCTCCTTCGGGATCGATTCTACTCACCAACAATGGTGGAAAATCTCCGTGTAGGTTCTTTCCCTGTCACCAGTTTGTAGAGTTCAGGATAATAAAACTCCAGGCTCTCCAGGAAAACTACATAGCCCCTTTGGCCCTTGGTGTGGAGAATGTCGAGCAGTCGGCCTAAGTAGAGAGAGCAGAGAGGTGACCTAGCAGCATGAGGAGCAGCATAAGCAAGTACAGTACTCCTGATGTCAGATCTGCTTAAGGTTCCTCTCTGCCACTGCAATGTGCTGTGAAAACTCTGCCTGATTAATTGAGTCCATCTGAACTCATAAAGCAATGCCACGTATTCATTATGCTTGTGCTGATTGTTATGCTGAAGGAGTGTGGGCAACTCGGTCTCTCAGTGCAGCCTTTCCCAGGCAGTGCTGGAATGCTGGGACAGCAGACCCTTCAGTGACAAATCATGAGGCATGGCAAGACAGCTGAAAACCCACTCCTGGAATGGCTGCTGCCTGTGCTGACACATTTGCCAAGGCTTTGATGGGAATATGAACCCCATGAGCTCCAGCCTGCACAGCACTGCAAGGAGTCATTGTTATCAAAATAGCAGCAGCAGATCCCCCCTCTTTACATTAAATCTCCTGTAAATGAGACACAGGTTTTCCATTTGATGATCTGCAACTGAATACAGGCTCCCTCTGGACTTAGCAAAAGAATATGGTTCAGATCAGGATGCAGATGTAGCCATTCACAAAACAATTACCTGCTCGGTTGATTTTGGAGGGCAGCATAAGTGAGTTAAGCACTTCATCCTCATCTTGCTCATCAATGACTTTGCACTGCCGTAAGTAGGGGGTCAGCTTGGCTGGATTGATGTAGCGGCTCAGCATGTGCCGGTTGCATTCTACATTCTCCCACAAAGCTTCCTCTTCATCTTTCAGTGTCTCCAGGCAGTCATCCATCTCTGGCTCTCCTCCTTAACAAGGGAAACAACTGGCAAATAAACAGCAAGCAGGACAGCTTCTACCCTGTATCCTTTCTTTTTGTGCTCCCATGTCACATAGGATGAACTCAAGTGCAGCCTGTCCACAGCTCATCTGGAAAGTGACAGTTCAGAGAAGTGCTATCTTGAGTCTGTGAACTATTGCATATTGCTCTCTAGTGATGAATCTGTAGCTCAGCTAACTCCATGAAGTTCTCTACAAGCCAGAGAATCCCTCTTCATAAGAGAAGCACTGGCAAAGGACACGGTGCAGTGCAAGACAGGGTACGAACATACAGAGCTCAGAGCAAAGACAAATACTTGCCTGTAGGCAGCTAAGGCTTTCATCCTCACCTCTGTTGTTCCTTTCAGCTGTACTGACCTGAACCTGTTTTTTTACCTGCATATTTGTGATGAACCAACACACGTAAACGACTGCACCACGTGAATAGTTGACTCATAAGTAAGCACTTATGTATCTCTGCCTTCTGCAAGGTGTATGCATTGCCCAACGCGTGGGTATGAATGCAAGTAACCTGCGAGTTCGGACCTTGCCTTTCTCTGCATGAGTAAGTTTTGTACCACTCAAGTCTGAAAACGTTCTTGACTCATGCAAATATTATCACATGATTTCTGAGTGCTTGCTAAGCAATTTCCTGCCGCCTTCTAATTTGTAACCACCTCATTAGAGAAGGTTACAAGGCAGGCAACAGTGAGGTGAGAAAACTCACCCTAAAGATAAGAGTAAAGAAACCTTTCCTTCGTAAGGAAAATCTTTCCTTCTTAATTTTATAGTAAATGTTAACTATTGAAAAAACAAGTCTTATTTCTGCATTCCAGCTTCCCCAGGCTTTTGTGATCCAGGCGGCACAAGGAAGATAAGCTTCTATTTCAAGAGGTATTTTACCCCATCAGAGACCATGGCATAGGAAGAATGTGCTTTATGAGACTTTGCTGCTAATCAGTAACTAAAGACCTTAAAAGCAACATGCCCGTTTCCTTTGACCAAAAGAGTTCTCTCCATTGTGGCATAAATTCCTCAGCTTCCAACTTTAGGAACTGCAAAGCAGCCCGAGTTACACTGAACATCCCCAGGCAAAACCAGCTATTAATCTGTATATCCATGGGGGATTAACTCCTCATTCTGAAAACTAAAGCCCAAAGTGCTAATCTGCTACATAATGTGTTTGTCAGTGCTCTATCATAATGATACACAGAATAGTCATACAGAAATGCATCAACAACAGCCCTCAAAAGGGCAAATAAGACCAAGTCTGCTCAATGGGGTCCAGAATGATAGGGACATGGCTACAGTTATAGGCAAAACTCTGTTCTTGCAAACTCCTCACAAACCGGATGAAATTCTTACTGAATACCAGTATTCACATGTGGTAAAAATGACACTGCCCTAACGAACAGTATAAAGCTAAACAAATAGAAACAGCTCTATAAAATAGGTAGCAGTGGGAGGAATGGTAAAGGTGAAATAGCTTCATCTGCAGTACAGATATATTCTCATGAACCTTACTCTCCACCCCTTACTCTGGAGATAACTGTATTTCACTTCAAAGATGAATTTAACAAACACTACATCACTGGAGAAGCTGAACTTTTGGGAGTAGAAGGCAGTAAAGCAGAGGGTCACCCAGTCCTGCAGTCACCTTACAGCCACAGCTATCTATTGCATCTAAAGGAAGGTGTGTTGCAGGCCCTTTAATTTTGAGGAGCGCACCAGGAAGCTCACAGATGTGCAAAAGAAGCACTTACCTGAGTTCCATAAAATGCAAGCTATCTTGTAATCTGCTGCACTGAACCAGCAATTATTACACACTGTCAGCAATCCCCTCAGGACATTAGTAAGGCATTTCTCCATTAAATGATTCAACAAAGAGTTCACTCATCAGCGTAATTCCTGACATGGATACAGGTTTTTTTTTACCTGACATTAAAAACACCTTTATCAGATAGTCCCTCATGTATGGGCATAATACATCCATACTGTTATTTTGGAGACATAGTGTTTAATGGGAAAGTAGTAAGTACAGTGCATGAGTGGCTAAGAATTTTCTGGTAGCAAAGTCCTGTCAAACACAGTCTATTATCAGGAGCAAGCCCTTCGGAACAGACTAAGAGTATAACTTCCAAGTAACTCCACTGTCTTGTGGAACTATTCCAGAGCCAACAGCTGATATTAGTACAGCATCCTCCTTAGTGAGCAAGGATTTCTTTGATTTAGTATTTAATATAATGTTGAATAGGAAATAAAATGCTTGTGATGGGTCGAAACGTTGGTGTGCAGCTCAAAAACCAGACGTGCCAGCTGAAACTCAGTGGGAAACCAATAAAGGTATTGTATTAGTGGCTCTCATTTTAAGAGACTTTCAGCAGCAGTATTTAAAAGACCGTAATCCCTGTTTCTGTCCTTCCTTCCTGTGACGCCATTGCAGAAAAGCTGTTTTCACTTACAAAATGAAACATGACAGATTTAGTGTTTTCAAATGTGTAATCACTTAATCTGGTCTTTATTACAATGATTAAAATTATCTAGTTTCTTCTTCCAGCACTGCGAGTTGTAACCTAACACACTGAGAAGTTGTGATATGTCCTAGAAACACTATGGCATCCATTACAAATCACAGGTGCGAAGTCACAGATTTGGCCTGACTTCAACAGGTATTAACCAAGAAGAAATAAGAATTGCCACAGCAGTTAATAAATTGCTCTCCTACTGCTCCTTTCAGTAGTTCGTATACAAAATAGCTTTTAACTGCAGGAGAGCCTAATCCAGTAATAATCTCAGCGAGTTCCATCTATTTCAAAGGTCTCTGTAGATGCAGGCAAATAAAAGAGAGAATCCCATTTTGCATTAAAAGAAACACTCTACTCCCCTCATCTCCTTTTCTCTCTCAGGGACTCTATCCCCCTCTTGGTAGTAACACATAGATGAATCTTTCTGTGTGTTTGCTAGATTTTTTTGGTGTACTTTTCAACTGCACAAATCACCTTGCAGTTAAAGCTGTTCTCTGTTCTCAGGCTCCACACTTTCATATGTCAGTGACACTTCACTGATCAAGGGAATAAAGCCTGCAGGCTTCAGAACCAGGGGTTCTAACAAGTGCTCATCATCGGGTCACAGATAAAGCTTCAGGTTTTGTGATTCATTTCATGACGGTGCAGAAATTAACCCTTCAGCTGCTTAATTATTTGCACCCCCTTGCTCTGAACGCTTGTCAGCCTGTCTATACTGAGAAGTTACCGTGTAAGAGATGGTGAAGGCAGGCTTCAGCTAGGGTTTCTGATTTCTTGGTATCGCCTTTGTGAAACAGGAAAAAAAGAGTATTGTCTTCGTACCGAAAAGCAGGAGGAAGTGTATTTTGGAAGAGGTGGTCTGTTTTTAATGCTTTGGACTTCTGCATTTGTCACAGGTGTTCGCAGACTGGCAGTGTATAAAAAGAAACCGCAACACACAAAATGTGTGTGCAAACTGTAAGCTAATAAGAACAGAGTTTATCTTAAATACTGCATATGTGTTTATAAACCAGGAAAGGATTATGTACCAATTATCACACTTGAAAGGGTGATAATAAAGCAGAAATAAAGATGAAGATAGCACTATGTATATAATTATCCTCACCATTTTGAGGGTATTGTCTTACATCCTCTTTCTATGCATATCTCTAGACTTCACGGGGCAATACTCTTTTTCCCTCAAGTTCTTATAGCACCTCGCATGATAACGTACAACAGGGTGATTTTCTCAAAAGCTGCTTGTATGGATATGTGCAGATTTGCAATATCAGAGAATTGCCAAAGCACAAAGGGATTTAGAGAGATCTTTAATTTTAGAGGAAAGTCACAGTTTAACGTGTGATAAGGAAATGCTGTTCCTTTGCTTAAGGACAAGAGAGCTCTGTTTGTAGTCCTGGCTTTCTGAAATGCTGCATACCAGCTGTTTCCCATTATGTTGGCTGCACTGCTGGATGTTCTATAGCACTGAAAACTACTTTTAAAAGACTTAAACATTGATTAAAGATGACTGAGTTTGCTTGCCTATACTTGCAGGTTTTTTCCATATAGTTGCTAAATCTGGACTCCCAAAGGAGAGGAGACAGTGTCTTCATCTGGCTTTAAGAATTTGCACTTTATATGCGTTCTTTCTTCCTCGGTGTCCCCATCTGAAGACAAGGCTAGTTAGAAGCATTTTTATGACAAGGCAGGACTCATTACTTCGTGACTGCAAAGCATTTGGAACCATCAAGATGGAAAGACCCTAGAAAAGCATTTATTATTAGTGCAGTCTATTTGCTTCAGATTTTACAGGCTTTAGAATATTTTGAGGCCAGCAGCACTGTTGAACAGACTGAGCTGTGTTACTGGTTTAGGTCACAGTGGCTGTACATGAAAGAACCGTTCTGTGTATATCAGAACTCCCTCTTTATATGAAAGATTCAACCAGCTTACTAAATGCCACGGTTTCAATAAAGTATAAAGGAAAAATATAGAGTAAGAGATACCAAAGTAATAGAAGAGCAAGAAGCTTTAAATACAAAATGGGATTATTTTTGCACAGATGTATTCTGTTCAATTCCATTGAATCAATTTTCCTGTTACACACAACCTACATAATGCCCCAAAACACAAACAGATTTGCAAGGCTTCAGTGAGGTAAAGGTAGGGCTTCAGTAAAGGCAGATGAGAGCCATAGTCATAAATACTACTCCTGTTTTCAGAGAAGAAAAGAGACAGAGGTAATCAAACCAAACTCCCTAACTGGTTCAAAGAGCTCTGGAGGCATATTCATCTTGCTTCTACAAGCAGAAGAGGGAAAGAAAATTCCTCTCATTTTCATAACTATTAATTCACCAACCAAGTGAGAGAAAGAGAAATGAAGAATTCCATCCTGTTACTCTTATTCAGTATCCTGCCCTAGGAAAAAAAGAGAACGCAACAAAGTAAATCAGAGATTTGCCTCTAGTCCCTATTGCTGTGCTAAC